CCCCGTCGAGCGATGATTGATTCGCGCCGGCGGCTCATTGTGCTCGCCACGACCCTTCCAGCAGCAATTTTTCACCACCTTTATAAATAAATTTGCCTCCGGCGGATAATACTTCCCTGAAGATTTTTTAACCCTCTCTTTATAGAGTGAGTTATTTTATCGTGGAGTGGAAAGTTTTCGCAAGACAAATGCCGCCGAGTGCCCATTAGCCAATTCATTTTTGCGTGAAAATCTCGGTCCAATTTGGCGCGCCTCGTTAAAAGTTGTTTTAAGAGTTTTTGGCAGACACGACTGGCGAAGGAAGCGGCACAAGAGCCTGCCTGTTATTGCTGCCCGAAAGTTGAAACTTATGCTGACGCGAAGAATTTCATTTGCGAGCGGTTGTTTTTCATCTCGGCTTTGAGCGAATCCACTCACGCTTCGCCGACACGCACAAGTTTTCGCATATCTTCAAAGGCATGCTGGAGTAAGAATGCTCTCAAAAATTACCTTTTGATGTTGGTTTGTTGTTCCTTCACACTTCGATTTCACACAAAAATTAATACTGAATGGGAAAAGCCTTTTATAAAAAAAAACAGTTTATTTTCAAATATATTAAAACGTCATTTTAATTGTCGAACAAAGTTCTTCAATCGTTGTTGGTTTCTATAATTATTATGGTAATAAAATTATTTTTCTTAATAAATGTCAAAATTTTATTATGTTTCTAATGGTTTCAAACCTCATTTCTCTCAAATTGTTTAAAAAAAACCACGTAAATCTACCAATTACAACGCCAACAATAATTTAATTATTACAAAAAATAAGCCCGTCGTTGAAGTTAATTATTTTTTGGGTTTTTATAACAAAGCTAGATAAATAATAAATGTTTATTGCCACATAATTGTTCTATTTTAATACTTTTTGAAAGAACCGGTAGTATTTTGAACAATAACATTAAACAAAAACTTTTCCATAGATTTCACCTAATTTTAAAATTTACAAACAGCTTAGAAATTATTTTCACATAGTACATTAATTCTTTGATACCGTTTCAATGCCCATTTCGTCATTTGAGCAAAATTTGTAATTTTATGAAAAATAATTAGTTAAGTTTAAAATTAGATGAAGCTATCGAAAAGTACTTGTTTAATGTTTTGTAAAACAAAAAATATAATAATGTTCTTGGCATAGTTAAAATATGTCTTTGTAACAATAGACATTAATTTTTTTCAATTATTGATAAAACAATTATATATTAGCCTAATAGAAGAAAAGATCTGATGGGACTATGCTTAGAAAGTGTCGTTGAAGCCTGACAAACTTTCCATAAATTATTGACTAGAGTCAACTTTTTGTGACGGATTCCGAGAAACCATTTTATTAAGTCTGATGATCATAAAGAAATTATTTTCAGCACATTTTTATTACAAAATTGTTTTACGTGCTTTTCACTTTCGATTCGCAAGACACGCACACCTGCATGGAATTATCAGATTCTGCGTCTGTCATCAACCGCCTGCATAACCGCGGTTATGCAACACGCACCGCGTGCGAGCTCAACAGGCTGCGGGAATCCAAATTTCCTGAGAATGCGGATTCCAGAGAGCATTTATTGAAGTTTGAAGGAAGACCTATGATTGGAGTGGTGTGGTTGAATTATTCAAATTTGAATAAGCCGAGAGGAGAAGCCCCGCAAAGAATCCATAAGTGAGAAATTAATGCTTCTTGCGCGTCTATTTTTGACCACGGGCGCGCTTTAACGGGATTTCGGAGGCGCACACTCGCAAGATGAAATATTGGCTGCGGTGATTGGGCCGATACGTGCCCCGGCCAAAAATAAAACATCAATTCGGACTCGTAGATTCGAGCTGGGCGATAAAATTTGATTTAGTGCCGCACCGGCCTGCTGACTGAAAATTCACCTGGGGTGCGTTCGCCGAGAAAGGGCGCGCTCGTAATCGATATTCAATTCTCGCCGCCGGTAAAACACACAGGCGGTCTGCGCTGACGGGTGTCGTGCTCCTTTCTTTATCTCGGGCACACGAGCTGATACACCGGGCCGCGCTTATTGACAAGAAGTCGATACTTAATCTGCACCCAACGGAAGCGAATCAGACTCCGTGTGCCTCGCCTGGGCCTCAAGAGTGCTTTTTGTTGGAGTAAAATAAAATTAAAGTTCTTATTTTCATTTTAAGTATATTTTAAAGTAAAAATTGTATTGTAAATAATAATTTATGAATTTTTAAGTGAGAATAAAAATGTTTCATTAAAAAATATTATAATTATTTTGTATAATATTTAAATTTTGAATCAATACAAAAAAGTTGAATCTGCTTGCAAGAAGCGTTATTTTGGCATCTTATTGTTATTATTTTTCATTGTTACAATCACAATGTTTATATCAAATCTTAAACAAACAAATTGTTTGGAAGAAGGTGATATTTTTGTGCTAATCTGCAAAGATCTTTATATATTTAAGGAAATAACTAAACAGTATCTCTGTGCCACGACACTAATAAAAATGGAATAATTAATAATTAAAAATATTTTTATCTGTATTTCATTTTTTTTTTACTCAACATTTACATAAGGTCTAAGAAAATAAACATAAAAAATTTGGAATGAATGTTTATTTTCCACGACAAAAAATCATTTTTTGATGAAATACAATTATATAAAATGCAACTAATAAAACCAATTTTTACATACCTTCTTTTAAATGTAGTTAATTTCTTTTTATTTAATATTTTAATTTTATTTTTAAACATTCTTCCTGCAAAAAATAAACTCCTTGTTCAAAAAAGCCCAATGCATGTAAATTCCTCATTTCATAGAATTGCATGTAACGTGGCTGGTAGGCATGTTCATGTTTAATTCATATTAACCACTTCTTTTGATAAACCACGCAGATAGGAGACACAAAAATGAATGAAATATTCTTATTTCGATCTAAATTGGTCAATTTTGCAGTCGGGCCACTGTGACAAAACGCTCAAAACACAATTAAACGGTCACGGCCGCCGATTCAGCACGCACGATAACGCATCTCAATTCACGTTCGTCAATTCTCTTCATTCACAAACCAAAAGTTCCATCGAGCTTTGAAAACCAATGTTATGAGCAGGCACGCTCGGAAATAAAACTTCATGCTTCTGAAGAGCAATAAACTTTTTAAAAGTCGACCGGCTTCTTTCCGTCCGGCTGCAGCTGCGCTGTTTTTTCAAAACTTCTTATTTGATCGTGTGTATGTTTTGCATTTGTTTGCTTTGCTTATTTGCTGCCAGACCGAGAAAGCTCGTAGGTCTTTATTTTTAGGTCAAACTTTTATCTCACTGGTGCACAGCGCTGGCTAGAAAAACTGCAACTGCAGTCGGTGAGGTTAAAAACGGGTGCAACCATTCATAGAATAACACACAGGGATGTATTAATGTGCTGTGAATTATTTTTGTGGAAAATTGCTCAGCAATTCGTATCGTGTCGGCCAGAACACGATTAGCATCGTTTTAATCTATGCACAATGACCGCGATGTCTATAAATTATTGGTACCTTCCAATGAAAAGACAGTATTTTTTTTTTTACATTTTCTGAATTTAGTTTTGAAAACTTGAATCCTGCTAAGAATGCTTTTTGGTTACGAACTTTGAACATAAGATTTAAAAAAAAAATCCTGGTTTAAATGCAGCAACTGTGTAACATATTTTGTAATACTTCTTCTGCTTCAAAAACTGATGAGAAATCACCACTGATTAAAAAAAAATGTAGGAAAGGTGATGAACGCCTGAGTGCCGAGTATCAGGATGATAATTTCTGTTTTGAAGCTGTCCTCAGTGGCTTTTGGGAGAATAATATTTTTTAGTTGATTTTCCTGGAGAATTTGTGTCTTACTTGTTTGTATGTAAACGTTGAACATGGCAGTCAAAAATATCGGAGATACAAGGAGAAGAACTTTGCGGGTGCGATTGAACTAAAAAAAAATTAATTTGTCTGCTCAACGCCATCGCAAAAAAAAATCATTCAGTACCGTGCGGACGAAGCCTTTGTAAATCTTGAAGAGAAAAATGATTGCAGCCAGGGCCAGCATGTTGGCGATCAGGGTCAAAAAATCATCTGCATCTGGAATCCAAGTGAAGGATATGAAAACGGTCGTCATTGCAAGCAGGATCGCTGTCCTCATGGTGGCCCTCATCACTCTCGCAGCACTTAACTGGATTAGTGGATTCAGAAAAAAATTATTTCAAAATCTATCAAATTAATTTTTCAAATACCTCAGGCATGATTAGGAAATAATTCTCAGAGAAACGTTGTTATTCTTCACAACAATCGGAGTAAATTTGGTAACCAATAATTAAGAATTTAAATACACATTTCATTATTTGACAACAATGAACGTTAAACTGCAACACAACAATTCTGCCTGCGAGATCTATTTGACGAATAGGTTGGAATAGCAACTAAATCAAATGAATTATTTTTAAATTTGGCATTTTTTCCCATAAAATTTAATTTTGCATTCAGGGGTTATAAAATTTTTAAATAGCGGCAATTAACTGAAAAATAAAAATGTTAGCAGACTTTATATGATAGAGGAAAATTGGATTCATTAAACAATTTTGACTAGCACAAAAGAAGAAAAAAAAATAATAAAATAAATAAAGCCATATATTAATTTTGGCGTAGTTTACACGTTAAATTTTTCTGAGTGTAATCAATCAGATTTATATGGAAAATTAAAATAAACTTAAAATTTAGAAGTGTGAAGCTAAAAAAAAAAAAAAATATTGCGTGGTGCCATAATAAAAATTTGTGACATCTGATCAAAGGTTGGTATATAATTATTATTGACTTGCTGAATCACAGATGCAATAAAAATTTATTTTGAACCAAAGTCCCTTAGAAGGTAGAATTAATTTAATCAGGTGGTCCAAAGTCTTCATATTGTAACAAATGTGTTATCGAAATAATAAACACGCGATAAAAAGACGTTTATGACAATGGCAAAGATATAAATGAGCAATGTTTACCTGATACAAAACTCAACTCTGCTTCCAGCACCGTGATACATCAGACGTTAGTTTTTGTTTAGCAAAATGAATGACTCGCTGATTTTGATACTTTTCTCACCATGGTGCCTATTCTTGGGGTTAACAATCGGAATCTACTTTTACCTGACCAAAAACTTCACCCACTGGCGAGACATGGGAGTACCTTTCCTCAAGCCGCACCTGCTTTTTGGAAACACGAGCAAGAGAATCACATTGCAAATTTCATACCCGGAAATGCTGGACGAACTCTATCAACAATTCGATGGCGAAAAAATTGCAGGTAAAAAAATTATGTTTGGGAAAGTAAGCGATAAGATGAATTTTATTTTACTAATTTTTAGTTTAATTTTCCAAAATTTGCACTAAAATCCGCAGGTATATTTGAAGGCAGGCTGCCTCGTATGATGATAAGAGACCCTGAACTTCTAAGGCAAGTCTTGGTTCGCGACTTTGACAGTTTTGTAGACAGGGCTCTGGTTTCAATCCACCCTGATGCATATGAAGAGAACATGCTTGTATCGCTAAAGGGGTCACACTGGAAGGCACTTAGATCTGTTTCGACGCCAATTTTCTCATCAGGTGAGGCAAATTTGAGAACCATGTTAATGAATAATATTATTGAATCATAAAATTTAAATTATTTGAGCACCGACATGAGCGATGACTGAAACAGTTGCATAAAACCTAAGTAATGAACTTTACTGGTCACTGAGCATTCAACAATAAACTTTATTAATTAAATTTATGAGAAATGATGACAACAAAAATTTTAATTTTTAATAATGATTTAATAAATAAATTTATTACTTTATGAAAAAAATTATAAATTATAAATATAATAATTAAACTACATTAAGCTTGGGTTTGGTAGAATTTATACATTTATTATTATTGTTTTTTAAATAATATAATCAAAATTTGTTACATTATCTAGTAAAATTTGTAAATTTTATGTATGTATAATTAAATTATAGGAAAAATAAAGGCAATGTCAAATTTGGTGACAAAATGCGCGGGCCAACTGTGCCAGTACCTGGACGAGTACGTCATTCCTGAAGGTGGTGAGGTGGATGCAAAAGAAATGTACGGCCGCTTCACCATGGACGTGATCGGTACTTGTGGCTTCGGCGTCCAGTGCAACTCTCTGCAGGACCCTGACGCCGAGTTCGTGCGGGTCATTTCAAAGTTCAGCGACTTATCAGCAGTGGAGCGTTTCAAATTCTTCGTTTCTATCCTGGTTTTCAACAGTTCGACGCTGGCCAGGCTGATCGGTGTGCACTTCATGAACCAAGAAACCGTCCGGTACGTCGCCGGTTTGGTGTTCAAAAGCAAAAAGGAAAGGGCCAGTCAAATAAACAGCCAGCGGGTGGACTTCCTCAAACTGATGTTTGACGCTCAAGCTGGCAAACTGAAGGGCACAGCAGAAAAATCCAAGGATTTGTTTGAAAAGGACGCTCAACTTCAAGGAACAGTTGAAGTTGAAAAAACAGGTAGAATTAAATAATTCTGTTATTGCCATTTTTCACCTTCAAAAATCATTAGGCTGATAAAAATATTAAAATATAATTGCCTAAATTATTTTCGCTGATTTCAGTTTTAACAGACGAAATTCTGGTTGGCCAATGTCTCCTCTTTTTACTGGCTGGTTTTGACACCTCCAGCACCCTCCTGTCCTTTGCATCTTACGAACTCGCCCTGAATCCCAACATTCAAGAAAAAGCAAGAGAAGAGGTAGTGGAAGTTTTGGGAAAAAGTGACGGAGAGCTGAATTACGATGTTATCAACGACATGCCGTATCTTGAAAATGTCCTTTTGGGTAATTATTCAAAATTATTAAAAAGCTTTCAAAATATTTTTTTTATCTCTTAAGAGACTTTGAGAAGGCATCCGCCAGTGTCCAGGGTCGAGAGGACCTGTACGGCTTCTTCGTACAAAATCCCTGGAACGTCCGCAGTGCTGAAGAAAGGCGACGTCATTATGATACCAATCAGGGGTCTCGCTCTTGATCCGAAACACTTTCCAGATCCGTTTAAGTTTGACCCTGACAGGTTCTTGCCTGAGAAAAAAGCCAAACGGTCACCGTATGTTTTTCTACCTTTTGGAAGTGGGCCAAGAAATTGCATAGGTTTGAAAATTAATATAAATATTTAAAAGTGAAATATCAGTTTATTTTTCACCACAGGAATGCGGTTTGCAATGATGAGCACCAAACTGGCGATGGCTACCCTTTTAAAGAGTTACAAATTTGAAACTTGTAACAAAACAAAGGTACCGTACAAAATGGAAAAAGCTGGAAATCTCCTTAAGGCAAAGGACGGCGTTTGGATAAAAATCTCTAAAATTTAATAATTTATAATAAATAAATATAATATTGCATTATTTTATAGTTGTTGATGTAATAAGGTTCAAAGCTTAATCATTTGCAAATACAAAGATATAGAATAAAAAAATTATTTAGTTAATAAATTTTAAATGCGGAAAACTCACGCAGCTAATTTTTAAAAAAAAAATAGAATTTCTGAATAAAAAATTTCATAAACAAACTGAAAATCATGCATTTCGGCAGTGAATAAAAGTGTAAATTGAAAATGAATTACATTAATTACAATTTTTTATAAAAGTTTTAGTCGAAATTTTTGAGAAAAGAAAATTGAAAAAATGTTCTTCCTGGATTATTTAGGGTCAATGCATGTTTTTATTTTGTTTCACAACAACAAGCCTTTTATTATTTTCTTTTATATTTAAAATGTTTTGGAATTGAAAAAAAGTAGCAATGCCGGAACGTTAAATTAAACTGCTTGCGAGGGAATTATAAACTGTGAATATCAGCAAAAATCAAACCACAATGCTGAAAAAGAAGAGACTGCGGATTGCGAGAAAAAGGGATGCAAAAAAAATCACACGGTGCAAAAATAAAAACAAAAATCGCGGTAGGTTCTGTTCCACCGCGCATTCACGTTTACATACAGCCCAATTATTTATCTGGATTAATAGCGCCGCGGGAGGTTTTCTGTGTGCGCTGCGAATTCGGATGCGGTGGCTCATGAAAAATTTGCATCGCGCGGCGAAATGCGCAAAACAAGAGGCCGCCCGTGCTGCCATAGGCCGTGCAGAGAGAAAGAGAGGCACCTCCAGAGAGCACTTTTGCCTCTATTTCTGGACGCTCCAGCGCCCAAATGTTTACAAAACGGACGCCTAAAAATATGACACTTTAAAGTAATAGTGGAAGGCGCACGCCCAGAGGCCGCCGCCAGAGTTAAACACGCGCATTTTATTTTATAAACACTTCGGCCGCGCGTGATTTATTCCCCGGCCCAACTTATGGAAATGCTGGCTGCACTTATGCTCCGCTGAAATATCGCTCGCTGGCCACAGCCGCTCTCTGCTGAAGGAGATAAATCGTTTCGGGCCAAACTCTGCCCCCTATGCAGCTGCGAGGGCAAAAAAAAAAAAATGACGTCCGACGTGCATTTGCACTCTTGTTTCGCTAATGGACCGGGAAGAGGATCCTAGTCGCGCGAACAAAAGGCCGTGCATTGATCATTTCAATGTTTCCATAGCAGGATAAGGAAAAGAGAAATTACAGAGTGGCTTTGATTGAATCAATAATTTCAGATGGATAAGATTAAGCAATACACAACTCAAAAATCCATCGAGGAAAAGCCGAATTTTAAATTCAAATCACCATATGAATAATCAATTATAATGATGATTTGTAGACAAAACTGCTCAACATACACCTTCATCTTAAAATTCTTCAACACAAAAAGCACTAATCCTTTTACTTATTGAATCAGTTATTTTGATGTTAAAATAATAATCATCAAATATTTTATAAAAATACATCAGAATTAAAATAATTTTATATTTTTTTGATTAATTTTATAGTGTCGAAATTTCCAGTTAATTAAGATGTAATTTAATTTTTCGAATTAAAACGTCCTTTTAATTTTTCTATATGTATTATCCATCAGACAATGAAATCCGTTTACCAACCATGTGCAGAGTCAAAAGAGCTAAAACGAGAGTTAAATTTATTAAGATCATTCTATATGACATACAACTACTGGTTTATACTTTGAAAATTTATACCTATATTGCAATTGCAATAACATACACATAAGGTACGTAATTTTAAGCCACGCAATTTAAGGAATGTATTGTAATTATATAAAAAAATTTAAAAATAAGATATATTATATAAGAAAAGAATTAAATTCATTTTATATAAAGTTTAAATTATTATGTGATATACATATATTTTTTAATATTATTATATATTATTTTTTACAAGCATCAAAATAAAAAAATGTATTAATAACCATTTTTTTTTTAACAGTAACTTTGTTTTAAATATCAATTTGCACTTGCTATACTGGGTTTGATGTTTGCAGAATCATTTATTTATTTTCTTTTCATTAAATTAAATACTATTTAATTCTCACGCGCAGACTGAAAAATCGTCATTCTTCTTTTGATTAAGTCAACGCGCGACAGCTCGGCTCACGTGCGACTCTCCATAATTTATGCAATACATCCTGAATCCTTGCTTGGCTTCTCTTTCTCACCTTCTGATTTTTTAATGGTCCGTCCAAAACCTGCGTTCAGCTTGTAAAGGAAAGAGATAGTTGTAGAGAAACAAGATGGATCGATGTACAATCTGCTGGACCGCTATAGATGCGTCACAATCGGCTTTATTTGTTTTGGTTCCTCTTTCCGGGTGACAAATGTACCGTATTATGTCGAAACTTTCTCACCATCTTCCAGAATTTATGTTGCTGGATTAATAAGTAAGAAAGTATAAGAATTTCCTAATATAACCCAAATGTCGTCAAACAACTTTTGCCTGATGCAAAAGACTTTGTTGGGATATGAGGTCAAAAACCTAATAAAATTCGAGCATCAGGAGAAAATTCCAGAAAAAATAATATGCTTTTTTTTCTCTCCACAACAGTGTCGCAGCAGTTTTGCAGATGTTTTCACGGGAAGGGCGAGAAAATCGAGAAAAATGCGCCACAGCCATGTTTTGGTGGCTATAAAATTATAATTTCTCCTGTTGCTGGATAAAAATTTAACGGTGGCGAAAATTATATTTATGGGCGCACACCACGACGCGGCCGGTTCTTTTTCTAACTCCCTATGTACGGAACAACGAAAGGATTTATATAATTCTCGCGCGGAAAACTCACAACACGCGGCCAAATATAGTCGTAAAGTTGAAATTTGGAGCCGCTCCAAGATAAAGGAGAGAAAGATGAGCCGCCATAACTGAGAAATGCAAACACACGAAAGCCAGAAAGTCGTCTCGTTAAAGGTGAAGTTAGTCTCTGCGATTTTAGCACATATATTGAAGCTGAAACAAAAGAGCGACTGGCTCCCTATAATAGGCCAATGGAAAAAATTATCCTTGATCATGTTTAAAAATTATATAAGCCCAAAATTGTTGGGCAGGAGCACGATCAAGCACAAAGAGTGTTCCTATTTAATATATTTTGCTTTCATACGTTTGATTTTCAATTCATTAGATAACAAAATAAAATTTTAACATTTTCATAATAATTATTCAGTTAAATTATTTTTAATAATATTTATTCGTTACAGAAAATTTAAGTTTTTTCTAGTAAATTATAAGGAAATGTTTATTTTCTTTGGGACTGTTGAAGGTGAAAAATTTGCAATTTTATATAAAAATAGAAAAGATTGGCATGATTAGATGAATTATTATTCAATAAAATTTTTATTTAGTGCTTTTGTTTTCAAAAGGTGCTTTAGTAAGACTTAAAGATATTCTTACTTATTTGCATTTTCTTGCCACCTCGGTTGGCCCCGCCAATTCATTTGCATTGCTGGTGGAGCAGCAAAGCGATTTTCAGTTTTCGCTCGTTCTCTCAATTATAAACTCGCTACACAAAGAGCAGCAGATATGCTTAAGAAGAAACGGCACGAGACCGTCGGGACCGACTGGCGGTGATTTACTGTCCTTGCGGGAAAAAGCCTGCGACATTTTCTCCTGCGAATAAGAAGCTTGGAGTTTGTTCAATTTAAAGGCAATTCTTTAGCTACTATCACGTCATCGGTGCATAAAATCTTTTGAAATAATTTATTATTTTAGGAATTACGTAATCAAGAACACAACATAAGATTTAATATTTAATATTATGTGAATAAAAAAGGTAAAATTTTATCCTGAGTAAATTCAAACTAACACAGAGTAAAGAACCAATAATATCAATGCTTTTTTCCTACAAAATATTTTCATGAAAGTTGCAAATATTGCTAAGTTTGCAAATATTTTCTAAGGTCTTTCAATTATAATTCTAAAATCAATTTAATTTCACTAAATTTCAATCTTTTCTGGCCATTTATTATTTTAATATGAGAACCTTATTTGTGTGCTTTTAAATAATTTAATTTTTTATTTGGATCAAGAGTGAATTTCTCCACAGCAAGTTGCAATCCGGTGGCTTTGCTAAAAGTGTAGTTTGTGAGTCATGTACCAGATAATTTTGACATTAGGCGGAAAGCACGTGGCTGCGATGATGGGAAAAGTTGATCTTTGCTGGAGAGAGAAGAGCAGCTACACTCAAATTAAAGGGATTGAGCTCCCGAGAGTAATGCCAAAAAGGCCGAGAGCAGCAAACGGGGCCGAGCGCGCGCAATATCTGCAGCACCAAATGAAGGCAGAGTGAACACGCGTTCAGCACCACTCAACCCAAGGCGCGATAAAACCGGAAAAAACTTTTCCACTCACACGAATACAAGAAGGAGAAAACTCCGACATTGCTAAAATTCAAAATGAAAAATATAAAATGTTCCAGGTTTACAGTTCTGTTTTTTTCAAATTACCAACATACATTTTTGTCACAATTAAATAAATTTTCATCTGTTTCGTTTTGGTTGAACCGCCTTTAAACCACAGCAGAACTTTTTTCGTGTATTTACAAAATCTAACGAATTGAAATATTGATATATCAAAGATATCTTTTTGGATAAACCAGTAATGTATTATTTGAGAATTGTGATTATGAATTATTTACTTAAAACATGAATATGTAATAATTGTTATTACAAAATTCAATTCATAGTTAAAATAGGGTAATTAAGTGAATAACAATAATTAAACACAAACTTGATAAAGGGTGAAAGGCATAAAATAGTCAAAGAATAGTTTAAGTAAGAAAATGTTACTTGATTTACAATCCTCTTTGCTAATTAGATAAATAAAATTAAAATTTTTTATTTATTTTCCTCTACGTCCATGTAGATCTATTCTCAATAAATATGGCATTATATTTAAAAATCTCTTTCCACCACACAATTCAAAATGAACAGTTATATTTTTGTGTGAAATTAAATTACAAAATATAATCTTTTGTATGCGTTTGTCAGATTAGATAGGACAACTACTTTATTATATTATTTTGTAAAGTTATATCACTTTATGGAAAGAAAAAAAAATATTCGGATGATAATGAACAAAAAAATTATCTACAATTTTGATATTAAAAAAATCTTTTTCCTGCGTTGAAAATGAGTAGGGGATCCGAGAGGATTTAAGATTTATATTCTTGTAACAGACAGTAAGTATCAAGTATAAGTGACAAGTCTTCCTGATCAGATCTTTATAAATAAAATATATGCCTTGAGTGTAACCAGTCTAAAACAGGTTTTGCTACTATATTCATTGTCAGATTCGGCCTGGCCAATGTTTTTGATGGCCTTCAAAAATTGATATAGCCCGGTGTTTCTTTGAAATGCTCACTGGAAGTGGAGTGGAATTAGCGAGCATAAAAAAATATAATTGTTGCTTTTGCATATTTGCAAGTGCCTCGCACATCACCGCAAGTGCTCTGTCCCATCAGTGGCAGCGAAATTACTCCGCTCAGCAAGCACGCCGGCCGCCGAAATTCGGAAGCAAAAAAACTGGTGAGGTAAAAAAAAACAAATCTACTTATTAGCACGAAAGCCCACTGTGGTGGGATGCTGACCGTTTTTTACATCACAATTGTTGTCTTCCCGGAGATAACCTAGCCACTGGCATAGCGCGCGGTGCGCCGCGATGTTCACAAAACTGATCCTTTTCGTGAAGTGGCCACTTTTCACCTTCATTGTTTTTCAAACAACTAGTCTTTTCGGCGTCCAGGTAACTAAATATTATTTTATACAATTTTTACATTAAAACACAAGAAAAAAAAATTAACGTCTTCATTGTGAAGAATATAATTTGAAGATTTTGCAGAATATTCACATGCAAATTAGCAAGAGGGTAGAACCCCAAATAAATTTAACTATAAGCATGCGCATATCCTTCATTAAAGTTCTTGAGAAATGAATAAATTAAAAAAGCTAATCATTGTTTACTAATTAAAATTAAATTTATGTTTCATTTTATAGGCAAATGAATTGATATTAGTTGATAATTCCGTCATTACCGTGACAAACCACACCACGTTTGCAGTCTACGTGCCATACACCTTAATATATTTCACCTATTGGGGAGGCAAGTGCAAATAAATTATATTAAATTTCCATCATTCTGAAAATGAAAAAAAATAGGTGGAATAAAACAGGAGCTTAAGTCTGAACCTCAGGCTCAGTCTCGAATACTCGGCGGAACAGCGGCGGTGGCCGAACAGTTCACTTTTTACATTTACGTTGAGGCCACCAAATATAACGGAATTGTAAAATGCGGCGGTGCCCTGCTCTCTGAAGATTGGGCAATAACATCGGCCACCTGTGTTGCTGCGTAGGTTGACTAATGCCTAAAAAAAAATTGAATTTGAACAAAACGTGATTTTAAACGTGATTTCTCATTCAGAGCCGCGACGATTCAGGTGTACGCGGGAATCATCGCGCCTCCGACCGCGACCGACACCATGGTGTACGCCAGAGCCATTATCCATCCCCAGTTTAGGTTCAACTACAAAGTGCACAATCTGGCACTTCTGAAATTCAGGGCTTCAATACCACTTGGAAGTATAAAAAACCTTAAAAACATGCACTCGGAAATAAATAAAAATATATAAAAAAAAATAACAGTTTATAGGGGCTTGAACTAAAAAAAAGTTTTATTTTTTAACATTTCTGTTAAATTTTTAGTTTCGAATGAATGAGAAATTAACATCAGAGATTAGATTTTCAAGTTTGGAAATTTCATAATATTTTAATATCAATAGAAGTTTCAGATACGCAATACAGATGAAATAATATTTACGCGTCAAAATTTAAAAAAAAAAATAAAATAAAAAAATAAATAGCATGCGAAAAATTTCAAATAAATACATGGTAAAGGTAGAGTAGCTGCAAAATAAAATAATTCCTCTTGTCTTTCATCAATTGAAAAAAATATGTATTAATCAGTGAATAGTAAAAAAATTGTATTAAAAAAGGGAAATATACAAAATTCATAAATATTAGGAACGTATTTAATCGAATTTTTACAATTTCAGTTTCGATTGCGCCAATAAGAATTTTAGCCTATGACCTGTCCAAAGTCAGAACTGACTTAACGCTGCGGACAATGGGACTTGGAACGTCAGACGATTGTGTGTAAAATTCTACAAATTTGTCCTGTTGATAAAAGTTCATGAAATCTTATAATTTCAAGTAATTGTTTTGCTCAAACATTTCAACAAATTTTTTTACTTTATTTTAACCATTTTAACTTTGAATTTATTTTCAGCAACTGACGTTGGTACCGAATTACAGTATGTAGATTTGCCGCGGATTAGACGGCAATTCTGCAACATTCAGACCTCAAATTCTTTCATTGACTACCCACTAAACACCGAGTGTTTGGGCACGGAGGGAGGGTCAAAAGGATTCTGCTTTGTAAGTAAATTGGAGAATATTTTTTTTTGCATGCTCAATTCCTGATTTGATCGCCCGATTAGAAAATCTAATAAATTACATTCTTCCTTGCACGTAGGTCGACATTGGCGGTCCAGTGGTTTACGTAACACCCGGCACTCAACCCAACGTTGAGGATTTCAAGTTGGTCGGAATCAACTCGGAATTCGTGGGCTGCCCAAGCAATCAGCCGATGGCCTTCACCAGACTGGCTCCTTACGTTTCTTGGATTAGAGTACAAACAAAGAACACTTTTTTCTCTTAGTAACAATTCTTTGATGGATTTCGTAGACTGCGATATCAGTTTTTTTCTTTTAAAAAGTGACTATAAGAAAAATCCGCTGCTATTAATGGTCAAATTTAAATTATAATTAGTGCAAAATTATAGCATAAAATTAGCAAAATGCTGCGAAATTATATATCTAACAATGTGTACAATAAAGCTTAAAAAGCTTTTCCCGCAAAAAACTTATTGCAATAGCAATTAAGTATAATTTAACCATTATAGATAGCAATACCAGGTGCCTAATTGTATTTTAGTTATGTTTTGCTGCAATAAAAAAATAGTAAGTATAGAAGTGAAGTGACGTTTTACAACTGGCAGCGCTCATAAATTTGGCTTAATATTACACTAGAAGAAAAACATAATATTTACAATTTTTCTATGTACAGCAATTAAAATGAGTTGTTCCTGCAATAAAACAATCTTCAACTTCTGAAAATTCTGCAATAATTTGTTCCAGTAAAACTTTATGAAAGCAATTAAATCATTACGCTGTATGTGCCATGAATAGATGTTTGTTTTATTTTAGCACATTGATTGAGAGACAGAAATCGATTATTATGATAGACTTTGATTTTTAAACAAAATTGTTTAGGAGAAAAAAGTTAAAAAAAAAAATCAAATAAGCATTGCAGACTTGTAATAAAGTGAATTATTCAATAGCACCTTAATATGTACAATTAGAATCACATTGCTTGAAAAATTTAATTAAAAATATTAATAATAGCAATAGTTTTACATGCGATTAAAAAAAAATATGTGGAAAATACGTGGTGCTGGCACCCTTTTATAGAACGAAAGAAGTGTGTCCCGTAAAATATAGGCTGAGAAAATGCTCTGCATCATAAACCTGTTTTAATGACGACGAGATTATGTTCAATAAAATGTTCTCGCTCAACACCAGATTTTTTTTTGTGTTGGTCTAAACGTTAAGTGTGTCAAAAAGTATTTTAGGATTTTGCTGGATTTGATTTTCACATCTTTCGCATGTGTGCCAATGCTGCACGTGTATAATAATTTTGCATGCCAGCTGAACGATGAGAAAGAAAGAAATTGAAGTTATTTTTAATAATCTACTAATTTTTTTGCACGTGCATTCTGAAAAAAAGAGGACACTTGTCAATTCATATTATTTTTCGTTCGTGTAATTTATTCACTCATCTTGATGAAGAACCAGTTATTCGTTAAAACGCGTTCGTCTTGTAGTCTTGGCACACTGAATTTATAAATTCACTCGCTTCCTATTTAAAGAACCAGTTGGAAATTTGTAGTTGGTTTGGTATGATGCTTCTGCTCTTGATTATTGGCATTTCGTTGCTCTGCACAGTTACAAATTGCAAGGTAATTTTATTTAATTTTTCTCTTTTTTATTTATAAATAAATAAAACAGGCAGAGGACGCAAAAAATGAAGAGAAATCCGAGTATGTCGACTATTCGGAAATCATTGACCCGGGGAATCCGTACACTCTGGAAAATTTAATCAATGGAACAGGTAAAAAAGTTATTTCAACTCTAACTAAATAATAAGTTTCAATTTTCTAAAGGCATGCAGAGCAACAACGAGACTGACTATGAAGCCCTTCCGGAGTGGCCGTCGAATATTACTATGGCAAAAAAGGGTCGAATTCTCGGGGGCACGGCGGCAACAGCTGGTCAATTCCCGTACTTTGTCTATGTTCTGGGAACAAAGTCGGACGGAACCACTACCATCAGTTGCGGAGGTGCACTTTTGTCTGAAAGCTGGGTTCTTACCGCCGCCCAATGCGTTTCAAAGTGAGAAAAATATTTTTATTTCATTTGAGAAATCATTTTAATTTCTATAATTATTTTTCCCAAAAAAATATAATCATCTTAATTTAATCAGATTCTATTGAATAGTTTTTTTTTTTTTAAATTAAAAAAAGCATTGAAAATTAAAATTAATAGATTTTTAGTTAGGGGGATGCCTCTGGAGGAAAACATTATCAATGAGCTTCAAAACCTATTTTGATCTCAAATATGCTGCCTAAAATAAAATATTTTAAATTTTAATAGAGGCCTTTAAAACAATCGTGACTTTAATTTATGAATTCTTTTTTTTTCATTTAAAGGGCTGCTTCAATACTTGTGTACGCTGGAGCAATAGCACCACCAGCGACTGGGGACACATCAGGCAAAGCAGGACAGGCGATAATCCACCCGTATTTCAGATCGAATTTTGTAATTCACGATATTGCACTGATCAGACTCTTCGCTTCTTTCACCCTAAGTGGTAAGTAAACTGAAAATTGTATTGCTCTTTGTTATGAAATTAAAAAAAAAAAATCTGCATTTCATTCGTCATTCAATCATTTGAAGAAAAGTAACATAAAAAAAATCCACGAATTTTGGTGATTACGTAGATTGAAATTTTGCTTCTAGGATCCATTGGTGTAATCAGACTTTCTAAAAGCTCCGCTTCAATTGACAATGTTTCTGTGCGCACTATGGGAATGGGAACTGCTGATGACAGTAAGTAGTATATTTTTATTATAATATTGAGGAAAAATTCAGCAAACGTCATAACACAATTTATTTGATTGAACTCAGTGAATTTTTTTCCAATAAGAAACAATTTGCACAGAAAAAAAATATTTTTTACAATGTTTAGAAGGTTAAAAAAGCAAATTTAATAAATACTTATTCCATCAATTTATTTGTTGTGTTATCCATAATTGAAAGGCAGTACTTTAAAAGCATCACATTTATAGACAGAATAAGATCACATGATAATAATTCTCAGTTATGTTCTAAACGTATTTAAATTTAATTTCTCTAGCAACGGGTGCTGGCACTGCCTTGAACTACGTCGACATGAAAAACATCCCCAGATCTACTTGCAACTCAGCCACAAATACAGCATATGTTACCTACCCTCAAACTGCAGGTTGTTTGGACCCTGAGGGAACTACGAAAAACTTTTGTGTGGTATAAAAATATTAATTTATCATCTCATGAAATGTTTAAAGTGCAATTAACTTTGCTGTTTGTTTTCTAGGGTGACATTGGTGCACCTGTGGTGTACACTTATGATTCCGGTACGGCATTGATTGGGGTTACGAGCCAACTTCAGGGGTGCGTGAGCAACGCGTACCCCAGCTCGTACACCAAAATTGGTCCCTATTTGGGATGGATTAGAGAGAAGACGAAGAAAAACTTCACATAAAAGCTTTGTCTATATTATATAATTCCTGCTAATAAAGGATAAAAATATTTATTTCCTTGAAAAACTTGATTAATTTTTTTTTTACCTCCACATACGTGTTGAAATAATTTGAAAGGAATTAAAAATAGTGTTTTTATCCCGAATGCCCTCCACAAATTTCTCATTGTCAGATCAAATCAAGTAAAAAAGGAATGGGTATTATTTAATTACTTAAATTTAGACTGATCAAATTAATACTTCAATTATTAGCTATTTATGAAATAATTTTGTCAGTAATTTTGTTCATAATTAATTAAATATTTAGTAACTTTGACGAATAAAAAATTATTTCTATAACAAACAAAATTGAGGTTGCTGCAGATTTTTTTTGGATAACCAGTCTTTGTAAAATATCGCCGCGTTTGCCTTAGCGTCTTGTAATAATGAATCAAAGCTAACAGTACATGCACAAATAAGTTTCACCGTGATTATATAGCCGACTCGTTTCCCTTCTTTAGGATCAGTTAGCAATTGGCTGTTGGATTGAAACGAAGTTCTAAAAACGATGCATCTGTTTGCGGTTTTCATTGCGCTGCTCTGTATGAGCGTAAATTGCCAGGTAAATTTATAATTATTAAACCAAATTGTTCCAGCTTATTGAGAAAAATTTAATCAGGCGTTCAGAGATGAGCCCGAATACGTGGACTATTCAGAAATTACCGACCTGGAGAACGCGTACACCCTAGACAAATTGATCAATGGAACAGGTAAACGATTAACGAATAAAATGTTAATTGTTCATTAAACCCTTATTGTTAGACGAGAACTTCATCAGCAGCAGTAATGGAACGGACCATGAAACTTTTCCTAAGTGGCCAGTAAATAATACAAATAGTAATAATACTAACGAAGGTCGGATTCTTGGTGGAACGGCAGCAACACTTGGTCAATTTCCTTATTTTGTCTACGTTCTGGGAACTAAAGCGGACGGAACCACTACCATCAGTTGCGGAGGTGCACTTTTGTCTGAAAGCTGGGTTCTCACCGCCGCCCAATGCGTTGCACAGTTAGTGTTTTTTTATTTTTTATAAATATTATTAATGAAACCAATTTATTTAAAGCTTTGGCCATCATCAACAAATTGAATGTGTTTTTTTTTATGATTTTTTTTTATTATTATTTTCTTTTTATTATTAAATGAAAGTTTAAAGTTTTTTTAAATATAAAACATGAATGTTCATTTAATTAAATGGATCCAAGCTATTTCCCTTTACTCCAAGCGTTATTCTCAATATTCTTCATAAAATAATAAAATATTTTCTCACAATTTAATAAAGCTAATATTCAGAAATGACTAATATTTTTTTTTTAAACGAAATGCAAATCTTGTAATTAAAATTTTAATTATTAAAGGGCTGCCTCAATACTTGTATATGCCGGAGCAATAGCACCACCGGCGACTGGGGACACCACAGGCAAAGCGGGACAGGCAATAATCCACCCATACTACAGATCCAATTTTGTAATTCACGACGTTGCCCTTGTCAGACTGTTCATTGCGTTTACACTCAGTGGTATTTAAAAAGTTATTTCCTTTAAATTTTCCAGATCCTCTTAATAAATTACAAGTACACAAGTTAAACAATAATAATAAAATAAGGACTTGAGGCTTTGATGACTTTCTTTCGCAGGAACAATCAGTCCCATCAGACTGTCAAAGAACTCAGCCTCCATTGATAACGTCTCAGTACGCACAATGGGAATGGGAACTGCAGACGATAGTAAGTATATTATTATTGTTGTTTATTTGTCCAAATTGTTACATCACATTGTTTACAAACAAATTGTATACGTACTTCATGCAGCAATTTGAATTTTGATCATGAGTTTATTGCTTTTTTTTAATAGTATAATATATATTTATTATAAAACAAAGTTTTTGTTTAAAAATTTCACTGTGCTGTTTAAATTGTATAGATCTTCTAACAATTAATTAATAATTTATTTTTAAAAGGGTATGGAATAAAAGATGTTGCCTCAGATAACCTTACTTTTTCACTGGAAAATTTTAAGCATGCTTAAAATTTTTTCGGTACTTTGAATTGTACTAGCATGGGCTGCATACATTCTTTGACCTCTTACGGGATTTATTAAATTGAGTGTAGGGATCTATGCATATATCATTCCTTATTCATCCCAAATTTTTTTTTTAATTTATCTGAAGTCCGTCACTAGCAACTCTTGACAAATTTTTTGAAATCATAAATCAACTACTAACTACATCATTATTCTCATATAAAATTGGAAATTCTTAGATTCTATGAAAAAATGATTTTATAAGTGGGTAAAAGCCTTGATATCTGTTAAAATTGTAATCCATCTTTTAAAACTTATTTAATTTGAGGAAAATTTAAATTCTAGCTACGGGTGCGGGCACTGCCTTGAACTACGTCGACTTGAAAAATATCCCGAGAGCTACATGCAACATCGCCACAGACACAGCGTACGTCACTTACCCACCAACCGCTGGTTGTTTGGACCCTGAAGGCACTACAAAAAACTTCTGTTTGGTAATTAAAATAATCACAAACACACAAAAATTAGTTTTCACTTCATATTCACTATCAGGGAGATCGTGGTGCACCCGTGGTGTACAATTTTGACACCGGTCTGGTGGTGATCGGCATCACAAGCCAACTGCAGGGGTGCGTCAGCAACGCTTACCCCAGTTCGTACACCAAAATCCTTCCTTACTTGGGCTGGATTAGAGAGAAGACGAAAAAAAATTTTACATGAGTGCTATGCCATTTTTGTTTTACTTGTAATAAAATAATATTTTTCAAATCAATGAGTTTCTTTAAAAAAAGGTAAAAAACAATTTAGGAAATAATTTTTAAATATGAACGTTTCCTCACTGAATGCTTCACAAATTATTTAACGATAGTGCCTGCAATTTTTATGTGTATTTATAGAAAATGACATCTTTTTGTTTCATTAAGGTTCTTCAAATAAAAAACTTCTCTCCTTCCTGTAAAGAAAGGGAACCAAATTTAACACAAGAGCAGGGTTTATAAAAATATTAGAGAAGACGAGGTTTAAGTCCACACAATTAAATGAACTATTGATTTCAAATTTGCATCAGTCAACCAAGAAAATAGTGGTCGGCATTTTTATTGTTTTGTGCATTTCTAGCAAACGGTGTGAACTGCAAGCAATAATTCTTTTCGCCTGCAAGGTATAGTTCAAAGTTGAAATTATTTTTCCCATGATATTAATTTAAAAGAGCTTTTGTTCATAATAATTAAACACACCTAAAGCAGAAATAATGAAGTATGTGAGTTAATTTATATTAGAATATTCATTTAATTTCTCAATTGATTGTACATTATATTGCGTGAAATATATTTTTTAGTGATGATTCCCACATAGAAAAATATTTTCATTAAAATTAATGCGATAATATTCTTTCAAAATATTGTTATATCAAATTTAACCCTACCCTGTGGAAACCAACGATTATCCTTACATGCTGACTTATATTAACAAGTAAGCTCATCTAATAATTATTTCCTTATGATGCTTGTAATATAAAACGTATCCCCTTCCACTTAAAAATGGGAACTTGTTCTTACACGTGAGCGGCTCATTTTTTTTTTTTTTTTTTTAAATCATAGGAGAGGATGAGGGTCAAGACGACACTATAAATAGAACCACTGATTTAAAATTTGCATCAGTTATCGGTCAACAAAGTGCCGCAAAGACAATGAAGTGGACAGCATTTTTGTTACTTTGTGCTATTCTAGCCAGCGGTGTCAACTGCAAGGTGTGTTAAAGATTTAAATTATTTCCCCCTGCACACCCCTGCATATTTATTGAAAAAATTAATAGTTTAATAAGAAACATTTAATGCCTGTTTTCAATACATCAATTAAAGCATACAATTTTCTTAGAATTTTGAATCATATGTAATTCCTCATTTGAAAATTTATTTAAATGCGTCAAAACCAAAACATACCTTTTTATTTGTCAACTCTTTTATTTTAACACTCTTTAAACCAAATTTCGCCCAGGCTGTGGAAGATATTGCGGTGGAAACCAACGACCATAAAAATCCTGATCTAATTGACTACACTGACGCATCTCCAGATGATTTTACCCTTGAAAAGTTAACAGTAGAAAAAAGTTTGTTAAATTATTAATTAATTTATTTATTTTAAATATCTAAACGTAAAATATTATTCAGATTTGACTCGTGCTGAAATTTATGAAACAGTTGAAACAGAAAGCCACGCACCAAACCAGACAGCGCGGATTGTTGGAGGTACATCTGCTTCAACCGGAGATTTTCCGTACTTTGCACTTGTAGCATCATTGAAGCCGGATGGCAGTACCACTTCCATTTGCGGAGGTGCAATTTTGTCAGAGATCTGGATATTGACCGCAGCTACCTGCGTTTCCGGGTTAGTTAATGGCTACAAAAATTAATTTTCTAACAAGCAATAAGACAAATTAAAAAATAATCAATTTCAAAATATATTTTTACATCAACTGGAAATTGATTATTTGCATTCACATCTTATTCGCTAGGAATACTGGAACTATAGTCTTTCCCGGATTAGTAGCAGAACCGTCCGAGACTGATACCAGAAAAACAGTTGCTAACGTTTACATCCCAAGCACCTTCAGATACAACTTTAAACTGAACAACATTGCACTGCTAAGGCTAAGTAGCGCATTGACTCTCAGTGGTGAATATCTCCCATATTTTAAATCCAATTTTACAATATCAGCATTATTATTCTTATTTCCAAATTATTCGCAGGCTCTATTTCCCCCATAAAAATATCAAAAAATACTGCCTCCTTGGACAATGTTTCCGTTCGCACGATGGGATTAGGCGCTACTTCTGAAAGTGAGTGGTGAAAAAAAGTTTGTAAAATGCATTGAATATGAACTTTTCCTCGTTGCTTTTTTAATCGTTAATTTATCCTTCGAAAAACAACTCAAAGAACTCATGCAGAAAGAGAGGCCAAATTTAAATATTTTTTAACACAAAGTGAAATTCTCTATAAATTTTGTATGCACATCAAATTGCTAAATGATTTTTTACGTCCTAGGCACATCTATTGGTACAGCACTACTCTATGCTGACATAAAACAATTAACCAGAAGCTACTGCGACACTCTGATGTTGGAAGCTTATTACCAATACCCTGTCAATACGGCGTGCTTGGAAACCAGCTCGGGTAAAAAGAACATCTGCTATGTACGTAAAATTTTAGTTTGATTGGACGCGATTTGATAGAAAAGCAAATTTTTATTTTTAGGTTGATGTTGGCGGCCCAGTGGTTTACACCTACCCTGGGGAATCTTCTGCCACGCTGGTGGGAATAAACAGTGAAATTGTTTCTTGTACATCGGTATATCCGAGCGCCTACACCAAGGTGCAGCCCTACGTCAGCTGGATCACATCAATTACCAAGAAGTCCTTCCAGTAATAATGTCAATGCTGAAGGGCGTCCCAGTCAGTCAAGTATTTTGTGTCCTGCTTTTGTTGCAAAATTAAATACGTTATTCGTTCATCGGTTAATTTTATTTTGTTTGTTTCATTAATGTATTTATTTAATACTTCAAATTTGAATGCTTAGGTCAAATAGGTATTTTGTTGCTTGATTTTTGATTTACAACATATTTGAAAAATGTTCCATTTCAATGGTATTTAAAATTAAATTTTAAAAACTGTCATATTTATCATAGAAAACGTAGGAGTTTTTACAGTTTATAAAACGTAATTTTTTCTCATGCAAAATATGGGGAGCAAAAAATTTGTATTGCATCTCTCATTTAATCTAACTTCATAAATTTCATGTAAGAGTGTGAGATTGAATTACGTTGATTTGAAAAAAATATCAAACAAGCTGCATGCAGGCATAAGTTTTGAAAAAAAAAAATGGAAAACAAATAAATTCCAGTTATCAATAATAATGAAAATTTAATGCCAAAAGTTTTTATATTTTATATGATTTACCAATATTAATAACAATTATTTTCTAAGAATTTCATTTTTTTAGCTTTCTCAAATTTTTGTTACTCTTGACACTTACTAACTGTGGGCTGTTTAGACCTCAAAAGCACTAGAACGAACTTCTGTTTGGTAATTTAATTATCAGCAAACTTCCCAACATTGATTTTCACTACTAACGCAGTGAGATCAAGGTGCATCCTTTGTGTACTCCAAATATGACACAAGTCTGGTGCTGATTGAGATTACAAGCTGTAACTGTAACGCCGCAGCACGGGCATAAAAATCATTCCCTTATTGTCAGATTGATGGATTAGATAGAAGACCAAAAAATTGCACATATAAAGCGCGTGATAGTATCTAATTGTTAATTTCATCGGATAATTTTTAAATGAAATTGATATAAAAAAAAAGTGAAATTATTTTTGTTTTACTTCCTTACGTTTTTCGTTTTTTTCCAAAATAGGATTTTTTAATTCGATCAAAAAAAATATGTTAACATTAACAAATAAGTTCTCTAGTTATTAATGTAGTATACTTGCTGGCTTTATATTAACATTAAAAGATAGCAACTAGAATGTTTCTTTCCTCAGGATCTTTGTAAGATAAAACTCATCTCCTTCCACTTAAAAATGGAACTCGTTTTTACACGTGTGCGGCTCAGTCTCTTCGAAAATCATAGGAGAGGATGAGGGTCAAGACCACACTATAAATAGAACCTCTGATTTAAAATTTGCATCAGTCATTCGGTCAACAAAGTGCCGCCAAGACAATGAAGTGGACAACATTTTTGTTACTTTGTGCAACTCTAGCCAGCAGTGTCAACTGCAAGGTATGTTAACGATTGAATTTAATTTCTCCCTACCAATTTATTAAAAATAAAAATATTTAAATAAGGAACAAGATTTAATGCTGATATTCAATAAAATAATTAAATCATAGAATTTTCTTAGAATTTTGAATGCTAGTGGTAAACCCTTTCTTCTTCTTTTATACAATTTAAAATTTCTTCTTTTGACCAAGAAGAATCATAATAAATCCGCTATTTAAACATGAATTTAAATGCGTCAAAACCAAAATACACATTTTTTTTTGTGTGGTTTCTAACCAAAAACCAGCGTGACTCTTAAAATTTAGCCTTTTATAAATCACAAATTTCACCCAGGCTGTGGAAGATATTGCGGTGGAAACCAACGACGATAAAAATCCTGACCTAATTGACTACACTGACGCATCTCCAGATGACTTTACCCTTGAAAAGTTAACAGTAGAAAAAAGTTTGTTAAAATAGTTAATGAATTTCTTTTAAAATATCTAACCGAAAAAAAATTATTCAGATTTGACTCAAGCTGAAATTTATGAAACCGTTGAAGTGGAAAGCAACGCACCAAACCAGACTGCGCGGATTGTTGGAGGTACATCTGCTTCAACCGGAGATTTTCCGTACTTTGCAGTTGTCACATCATTGAAGCCGGATGGCACCACCACTGTCACTTGCGGAGGTGCAATTTTGTCGGAGATCTGGATATTGACCGCAGCTACCTGCGTTTCCGGGTTAGTCAATTGCTATAAAATTAAATACTTCAACTTTTTCTGTTTGATTTTTAAAACTAAAGAAAAAAATAAGAGTGTTCTATCCATTTAACTTGTTTATTTTTTACACGGCCAAATTTCAACTCTTATTCCATAGAAATACTGGAACTACAGTGTACGGCGGATTAATAGCACCACCATCCACGACGGATGTGGGAAAAACAGTGACAAACGTTTACATCCCAAGCACCTTCAGATACAACTTTAAACTGAACAACATTGCACTGCTAAGGCTCAGTAGCGCACTGACTCTCAGTGGTGAGTAGACTAGTTTGTGAAATACATTTTACTAAGTTGATATCGATAGTTTCATTTCAATAATTTGAATTCATAATTTGTAGGTTCAATTTCCACCATAAAAATATCGAAAAATACTGCCTCCTTGGACAATGTTTCCGTTCGCACCATGGGAGTAGGCGCTTCTGAGGAAAGTGAGTTGTACAATTGAATGCATTGAATTTTAATTTTTCTTCTCCTCCTCGGGATTTTTAGTTTTTATTCTTAGGAAATCACTCAAAGAACCCAGTCATGAGGAAAGACCAAATTAAAATTTTTAGAAACACTCAAAAAAGCAATTGTCTATAAATTTTTACTAAATCACTTAGCTAAATGATTTTTTTAACTCCTAGGCACTGGTACTGGTACAGCACTGCTCTATGCTGACATTAAGCAATTAACCAGAAGCTACTGCGACACTCTGACTTTGGAAGCTTATTATCAGTATCCTGTCAATACAGCGTGCTTGGAAACCAGCTCGGGTAAAAAGAACATTTGCTATGTACGTAAAATTTTGAGTTTTATTGGACGCGATTTGATTGAAGAGCAAATTTTTATTTTTAGGTTGATGTCGGCGGCCCAGTGGTTTACACCTATTCTGGATCATCTTCCGCCGTGCTTGTTGGAATAAACAGTGAAATTGTTTCTTGCACGTCGGTATATCCAAGCGCTTATACCAAGGTGCAGCCCTACGTCAGCTGGATCACATCGATCACCAAGAAATCCTTCCAGTAATAATGTCAATGCTGAAGGGCAATCAGTCCATTTTTTCCTGACAAAGCTGCTTTTGATGATAATTTAATAAAAACATAATAAGAGGAACTCGCCATTATGATTTTTTTTTGTTTTTTGAAAATAAAAAAGTTAAAAAAAAAAAATAACATTTTTATGCTACAAAATTACCTGGTAAATAGCATACGTATTTTTTTTCATTATTTTTCTTATTTTTTTTTAATTGAATTTTTTATGGCTTAAAACGGTAAGAAATCTATTTTGGGTCTCTTTATGAAGGAGACGAACCAAATTAGATTACAGTACTCAAGCTCGCTCGAAAATGAGGTATCCACAAAAGACAATTTTCAAGCGTCCTTACATGTTGTATTAAATGACTATTCAAAAATGAAGTGAAAGACTTTGATTTATTATGTAAAATTAACCAAATCATTATGAGTTGGTATTAAAATACTGGTTTTTTTATACAACAAACTCAATTTGTTATACCATACTTTGGAATTATTTCTGCTACTATTACAAAAACTGTATAAATATAATAATATTGACAAATGCTTATAAAGGAAATTTGCTCAGCTTCAGCATTTAGCGGCTCTCTGGAAAATCACCAAAAGATATATTTTGTGAAGAATTTTATAATGCAATTAAAACTAAAATGAAAGATGAATGATCTAGCTAGTTTTAATGCTGTGCCATTTGGATGAATCCTTACAACGGATATAAATTTAATAGCCAAAAAACCATTAGCATGCTTGCTATATGTCAAGACAAGATAGAAAGCATAAATATTTATGTTGTTGACAAAAAGCTTTCAGTAGACAAATCCTATTTAAGCGTGCTTTGGTGAAATGACCTTTTTCTCAAAAGGTGCTTGGACAATTGGCCTTCTGTTTTGTCCATTAAAGGACCATCTCGCAAAAAACTTTTCAATCAAGACTTTTTTGTCCAAAAGCTTGGTTGGATCAAAAGCCAATTTTTAAGAGAGCAGAACTGACTTTCAGATATAATTTGCGCTGTCTGCTGATGTGAATGAGCCAATAAAAAATAAGACTGTCAATATCATCCATTGTAAATCATTTTTTTTTTCAATGAAACAGGTGAGCATGTAAGAAACAAATGTTACAAATCTTACTTAGAAAACAATAAAATTACTAAAATAAAAGTGGATGAACAAGCTACTAAAGGATAGATTAAAAAATTATCACATTATATTCTAATTTTTAAATTTAATTTCATTTGAATATTGTTAAATCTATCAAAATATTAGGGGAGAAAATCAATTCATAAAAAAAATTGTAAAGAATATTTTACAAAGCAATTGTCTACAACTGTAAATAATGCCATACACAAGTTTATTTTTCGTCATCAAGATTTTTGAAATATTTATATTATTTTTCTATATTCAAGTAAAGAAATGGCCATGTGTCTGGACAGTAAACTTTATAACTAAGCATCATTTGACACTTTGACAGGAGGCCTCTAGTCCACAGAAGGCTTTTTGTCAACAACATGTATCTTCTCCTTCCTCTCATATCGATAGCACAATTTTCTTAACCTGTGGCTTAAATATTTTCTGGAGGGGACGAATATATAAATTAGCCTTTATATTTAATTTAGATATTAGTGAACCATTTGATCCAGAGCTAGTATAATGAAGAGGGCCAACCTTTTATTGTTTTCTACGTTTTCTACAATTCTAGGCTCCTGTGTCTTTTGCATGGTAAATATTATTATAAAAGTTCTATATCCTTTGAAAATTAAAGTCTGCAATTGAATTTTTCTGTATATTCATAACATCGTGGCGCCTTTTATCGCAGTTTAAAGCTCCGCAGCTTTATTATAAATATACATTATACAAATTTTCGCTAGGTTGTGGAAACCAACGTTGAAAAAAATCCTGAACTTACTGACTACGACTCCAACGCTTCTCCAGAGGAAAACGCACAGGTTGAAAATGGTACAAAGTTGAGTGTCTTGTAATTTTCTTTATATTATAATAGGAAATGTCAACAAATTCGACTCTCGCTGAAAATTTTGAAAGCTCGGAAATAATAAACAGGACCTCTAGGATTGTAGGAGGTACCGAGGGTACAGCAGCGGATTTTCCATACTTTGCATATATTACATCAACAAAGGCGGATGGAACTACAGTGAATTGCGGTGGTGCAATTCTCTCTGATATCTGGGTATTGACCGCGGCAACCTGCGTCTCCGGGTGAGTATATAGCAAGATTGCACAAGATTGAACTGAAATTAAGTCCTGATAATTTAAAACTTTTTAACTTCATTAGTTAAAAAAAAAGATTACGTCAGCTTTTGAAAGTTTAAACATAAATGTGGGAGTAAAAGATAATTATATCCTATAGTTGAAAAAATGTGAGCACAAATCTCATCACACATAGCTGTATTTGGATTTATTTTAATAAAATTTTAGAAATTTTAAAAGAAAAATGAGCCAGAAACTAACAGTGGACAAATTTTTGCCTTCATTAAATTGAAATACATTTATTATTTTTGAAAAAAAAAAAAGATATTTAAAAACAAATAATTCCAATTGGTCCACAAGCAAGGGAAATTGATTTCACTCCTCTCTGGGCTACCAATATTTGATTAGATAATATGAAACCTTCTGAATATTTCATAATGAAAAGTAATTATTATGGGAATTAATGGAGAAGAAAAATATCTTTGGAGTACACAGTAATTATTCTACTTATGTTTAATTGTAAGTATTATAACTGTTATTAATTTTCAGAACTACAGGGACCCTTGTTTATGCCGGACTTTCAGCACCGCCAAGTATTTATCATCATTTGCATTTTTTTTTATCCAATATAGCATAATTATTGATCTGAATATTTCATTTTAAATATGTGTGACAAATTTTGTTAAATTTTTAATTAATAATTATCTAGTTACTGCTCAAATGCTTCCAAACCCACTACCACAAACTACCAAATTAACATCAAAATTTAATAACAAATTTTTTTCAAGGTACTTCTTATCTAAAAAGTCACACTCCGAGTGGAAAGGCAGTCATTAACACGTATGTCCCAAGCACCTTCAGATACAACTTCAAACTGGACAACATTGCACTTCTAAAGCTAGTTAGTGCTTTAACTCTAAGTGGTGAGTAATGGAAAATTTATTAAAATAATCAAAAAAATTTTAATGGGAACTTAAATAAAACAATTTTTACTTTAGGAACCATTTCCACCATAAAAATTTCAAAAAGTACAGTCTCTCTGGACAATGTTTCGGTTCGCACCATGGGAATGGGCGCTACTGAGGAAAGTGAGTGTGAAAGATTTTTCTGAATGGATCCATCTTTTTTATACCCACCAGGCACTGACTCTGGCACTGCATTAAACTATGTCGATATTAAGCAAATACCCAGAAGTTACTGCGACTCTCTGACTTTGGCAAACTACTATCAGTACCCTGTCAATACGGCGTGCTTAGACACCAGCTCGGGTAAAAAGAACATTTGCTATGTAAGTTATATTTGGTTTAGTCTCCATAATCATAACTACAAGTTCAAATTTATATTTGTAGGTTGATGTTGGCGGCCCAGTGGTTTACACCTACTCTGGATCATCTTCAGGCGTACTTGTGGGAATAAACAGTGAAATTGTTTCCTGCACTTCTGTTTATCCAAGCGCGTACACCAAGGTGCAACCCTACATAGCCTGGATCACCAAAGTGACCAAGATATCATTTGTGTAAAAATGCCAATAAGATGGGGGTAATTTTAAACAATAAATCTATAACTTTGACTTGTAATACAATTTTAAACATTCATAATGAATAGTGTTTGTATGCTTCTTATCATCTGCTTAGAAATACAAGCATAAAAATATCAATAAATTAACCTCTTTTTTAATCTGTTGACCTCCAAGATCCACAGTTCTAAGGCAATGTAATTTATATTTGACGATAATCTAAAATATTTTCTGCTATTCCAAAAAGGAATTTGTGAATACAAATTTTTAATTTTTTAAGGCAATAATAATACTGTGGGAAAAACTACTGTAATTTACAATAAATAAAGCAAAGCTATACCTATTTTTGCACAATTTTTTTTATCAAAAAAATAATCTGGAAAAAATCGCTTGTTTTCCTGCTTCCTTGATCTCTCTGTGGTTCTGAATGCGAGAGATATGATGTTGTTTCGGAAAGTATAGCAGCTGTATGCACATAGAACGCACCTTCTGCCGTTAGCTGCAGTAGAAGACTATTTAAATTTGCAGAAAGAGAGAGACCATTGTGAACAACTGCTTGGAAGCAAAGATTAATTTATCAGCATTTATCAAAATTATTTGCCATGGGCCTCTATAATATAAGTATAGCTATAATTATTATATAATTGCTAAATCGATTTTGCAAAATTTCAATACTAATTAAATAATCACGAACCAAAATATTGGACAATAAAGTGACCATAAAAATACCTCACTTAACTTGTAGGCAAAGCAAATCGCATTTTAAAAGCTCTCCGGTTTTGCATGATAAATTTCAACCCATTAAAAACTTCGACACTCTGGCGCACCTGTATGGTATGATCTCATTGCACGAAAGTGGTGGGATAAATTTTTTTACGATACTAATAATGTAATAAAACGCGTTGCTAACAGCAGTTGGCAAAAAACGCTGCAACAAGAGTGATGCGCGCTTTAACATGCTTGGTGCTGCTGGTGTTTCTTATTCACGCTTGTGTCAGCGTAAGTTGGATTTTTCTTATTTTTATTTATGTAAAATGAGGTGCTAAATTTTATATCTGCTAGCTCTTTTAATTCTTTTTTAGAAAATGTTTAAAATATTTGATATCAATATTCTATTTATTTTTTTAATAATAAAATTAAATTTTAATTAAATCAGGATTCCATATATTCTCCAAACGTCGGCAACATTGAACAAAGAATTTTTATTCTTTGAACTTATAATTTTAATGTTCATAAGTTTAAGCGACAGCACAATTAATAATTTTTTTTTTTAAATACAAGTTAAACAATGGTCAGCAAATTGAGGAAAATGATAACGTCAATTTCACCGGAACAGTGGACGAGGACCTATCTTACTCACTTGAACTACTGACAACAGATGACGAAAGTATGTATTATTTTTTCATTTTCCAATTTAATGTTTAAAAATAATTGATAATTTAAAAAAAAAACTAAAGAAACTGAGATCTCTGAGGATTCGACGGACACACCTGAAATTTCTAAAACATCCATTCCGCACCCACCGATTTTATGCGACGGGATCAAGAATAATGCCACTTCACGAGAAAGCCGAGTTTTGGGCGGCACTGCAGCTACCTCGGGTCAATTTGGCTACTACATGTACATTGTGGGCACTCCGGCCACTGGCAGTGCAATTCAGTGCGGAGGAGCTTTACTGTCCGAAATTTGGGTTGTCACGGCGGCCCAATGCGTTGCAACGTGAGATTTTTGTTTTGATAAATATTCAGGTGCTCTATAAAAATTTTGAAATCAGGGCGGCCAGTGTCACGGTTTACGGTGGCTTAATCACCACTCCAGGTATGACGGACGTCGGAGTCGGCGCTAGCATTATTGTCTATCCAGCTTACAAGAGGAATTTCGTCATTAACGACATAGCCCTGCTGAGGCTTCTCTCCCCATTGACCCTTTCTGGTGCGTTTTTTTTTTCAACAATGAACCTCTCATATTAATTTTTTTTCAACTATGTCCAGCAACGATTGCAACCATCAGAATTTCCACCAAAGATACTTCATCAGGACTGCTGGACAACGTGTCTGTTCGAACCATGGGAATGGGCCCGGCTGACGACAGTGATAATTTTTAAATAGGTTTTTATATCTAACTCAATTAATATTTTTTCTTCAGCCACGACACTGCCGACGACACCGGCGTTAAACTATATTGACTTGGTGAACATAAGAAAATCAACTTGTCTCATTCAAACGGCAGAAACGTACGTCGCCTACCCAAAAAACACTGGCTGCCTCAGTACGTCGACCGCAACAAAAGGGTTCTGTTATGTAAAGATAGAGATATTGAGGATAATTTTTTTTTATGTTTAAAGCAATCATAATTTTAGGCAGACAAAGGGGGTCCAGTTGTGTACACCTCGGACACGGACACGACAGCCAAATTAATTGGAATTAATTCACAGTACTTGGGCTGCCCTAGCTCATATCCTATGTCTTTCACCAGGATCTACCCATATATCTCGTGGATTAAGCAGCAGACCAAAAAAACGTTCACATAATTTTTTTTAAATCTTCTGTTATAATCCGACTTGAGAATTATTTTAAAATTAATTTCAAATGGCTTATTTAAATTATTTCTGATTGCCACAAGGGCAAATTAGTGTAATCAAATTAATTTTCAATCGCCTAATATAATTTTCTCAAACAACCTAATCCAAAGGCTATGTTTTTTCTACTTTGGAATAATGATTTCATAATAATTATGACACGTTTGTGCGTGAAATGAGTTTTTTTGCAACTCTGCTGGCATTTTTGAGGTGGAAATATATTATCCCATTTGCAGCTACAAAAATTATCTCCTGTTCTACACATGATCTTTAATAGATTAATAAATTATTCATATTTTTTCCCATCTATTAATTTTGTTGTTTTATTCTACGCAAGCAAGCACAGGCGATACCAACCAACGATATCATTTAAATTTAACCTGGAGCAAGCTATTAAACGGTGAATGGAATTACAGGCCGATATCAAGGCTTCGACGTCATGTAATTAAATTATCATTTTTTTTAACATAAACTGCATCATATTGAATATTAAAAATGAAAAATATGATTTCTCTTATAGAACCACGTTCTTTTTCAATGCATTTTCCTAGTACATTTGATCAAAAGTTTTGCGATTTCAACCAAATAAGATGTCTGAAATTCTCAGGTTAGTGGCATCTTCTATAATATGTCATTAAAACATTCTTGAATTAATGTGAAGCGATCAAGTCCAGCTTACACGTTTAGCTAGTCCCTATATATTTTTTGAGCAACCATCGGAGAGCCAATTAATTTGCTGCTCCTATCCAACGCACCAGTCGTCATTTATCTAGATAGTGGTGGGATCTCTTTATTATTTTATAGAAGAGCAGTGAGAAAAAAGTTAAGTTGCAACAGTGATGCGTGCTTCAACGCTCTTGGTTCTTTTGGTGCTACTTGGACATTCATTTGCAAGGGTAAGCAAGATGAAATTATCTTTTTGTGTAATCAAATTGTAGTATTAAATTTTATCGCTGCTATTCATGTAAACAGTGCACATCAAGTAAATTGAAGCCTTTTAAAATTATGAGCGCTTCAAGGTGAGATTGCAGGGTGATTGAACGCACAGATTTGTGTTAATCAAGGTGAGAGGTGATAATTTTTTTACCTGTTAGTTGTAGAAAATTCATCGTGAAATTTTCCAACGAAATATATATACAATTAAAAAAGATAATTTTAAATTACAAGCAATTAATTGAATGAGCCAATATAGTTTAAAAAATTTGACTTTAAGTATGTGGCTCAGGGAGACTCACAATTTTTTTGATCGCATCTCTATGTGATGATAATTTTAATTAACCACCACTACAGCAGAAAATTAACACGGAAATGTTTGCGTAAAACACCCTCAGATTGCACAAGTCAATGTTCATTTAAATAATTCCTAGAATAGATTGTGAAAAATATTTAATTTGATTCTTACAAATATTTAAATTAATTCTTGTATAAGTCAAGACGCAGCGCGTGTCATCGTAATTTGTGTCACATATACCGTGAAGAAAATTAAGAGAGCAGTTAATTTCATGGAAAATCTAGTCAACACGGACAATAGCCCGTTTTTTTTTACTTCGTGATCGTCTTCTTGAGTAACGTAAATTGTTGTTTGTTTATTCTACTCAAGTCATACATGAAAAAATTGAATTGGAAAAAAATGAGTAGAAAGGGTTTCACAACTAGCAGAGGTCTGCTAAAACGCCCGACATCAAAAAGAGATCGGCCACCGCATGAACCCACACTATAGAAAAAAAAGAACAATCACGACACTTTAAATTTGCTGCCAAAAATGCTGCTTGCAAAGGGAGGGAAAATTGCTGGTTGGGCAGTCTTTGCAATTGCTATTTAAAAATTACAAAATTTACAATTAAAATTTTTTCACAATAAGCACTTATTTAATATTCGGCGCAATTTTTTTCATTTAGTTCAAATAAAAAATTTTAAAAGCAATAAAAAAAATTACGTTTTCCAGTCCCATATATGTGTGGGCTTTAGAGGTTGATCATTATAATTAGTTATATTTCTGATCTTTAAGTGCAATTCCAACGGTCCCTTGCAAGACGAGACAACTGAACAAGTAGAATCAACCACAACAGAAGATGAAGAACTTCCCTACTCACTTGAACTTCTGACCAAAGATGACGAGGGTCAGTTTTTCAAATATCCAAATATAATCTATTCATTAAATTTTTCATAAAATTGAAGTTACCGAAAGCGTGGAGGAGTCGACGGAAACTCCCAATATTGCCAATAAACCCATTCAACACCCACCAATAGGCGAAAAAACTGGATTTTCCAACGTCACTGCACGCGAGGGCCGAGTTTTGGGCGGCACTGCAGCTACCGCGGGTCAATTTGGCTACTACATGTTCATTGCGGGCAGTACAGCCTCTGGTACTTCACTTCTCTGCGGTGGTGCCTTACTGTCCGAAATTTGGGTCATCACAGCTGCCCAATGCGTCGCAACGTGAGACTTTTTCATAAATAATCAGACGCTGTATTATGGAAATTTTAAATACAGGGCAGCCAGTGTCACCGTCTACGGTGGTTTGATCACCACTCCAGGCATGACGGACGTCGGAATCGGCGCTAGCATTCTCGTCCATCCGTCTTACAAAAGGAACTTTGTTATTAACGACATAGCCCTGCTGAGGCTTCTCTCTCCAATGACCCTTTCTGGTGAGTTATTTTCGTTTTAATCGCCAACGAATCGCAAAAACAATCAAAATGAATTCTTTTCAGCGACAATTTCCACGATCAGAATTTCCACGAGGGATCCATCGAACGGACTGGACAACGTGTCTGTCCGCACCATGGGCATGGGCCCGGCTGACGACAGTGAGATTTTTTTTCAAATTTTATATTCAAATTAAATTAAAATTGCAATTCAGCCACCGAGCTGGCCACGACGCCGGCGTTAAATTACATCGACTTGGTGAACTTGAAAAAGTGGACTTGTCTCATTCAAACGGCGGAAACGTACGTCTCGTATCCAAAAAACGCTGGCTGCCTCAGCTCGTCAACCGCAACAAAAGGATTCTGTTTTGTAAATATTGAGACATTTTTGATAGCTCAATTATTATTGATCATCATAATTTTAGGCGGACGCAGGTGGACCAGTTGTGTACACCTCGGACACGGACTCGTCAGCCAAGCTGATTGGAATTAATTCGCAGTACTTGGGCTGCCCTAGCTCGTACCCCATGTCTTACACCAGGATCTACCCATATATCCCGTGGATCAAGCAGCAGACCAAAAAAACCTTTACCTAAATAAAAATCGTGTTTAAATCCTACTCATAATTGGTTAAATAATTCATAATTTAATATTAATGATATTCGAAAGATTCCTGGTTATTGCCCTCAAATAAATTTTTAAGACGTTTTATATGATTTTCTGGATCAATCTAATCGAAATGCTTAAAACTTATTTGTTTTGGAAAGAAATAAAATCATTTTCATCTCATAATTGACCATTATAACGCATTTCAACGTGACGCTTAACTTACATTTCTGGCTTTGCTGGTATTTTCAAGGTGGAACATTTCAAATGCAGCAACAAAACTTTCTACTGCTCTTCATTTCATCCTAATAACAGCTTAATAAATTGATACTATTTTCCAACTTCACCATTTTTTTGTGTTTTTATCAAAGCAAGTGAGTAGAGATACAAATCTACTCCATTTAAATTTTTCCTCGAGCTATTAAAAACGAAGAGTGGGATTACAGACCAATTTTAAAAATAAGTATTTTTCTGTTATTATTGACAATATCCTTATCATGCTAAATCTCTCCTGCTTTGCAATAAAACAGATTCAGAAAATTCTGACGCGGAAATTATTTTACTGCTCTTGCAATTAGCATAAAATAAAAATAAAGTGAAGAGGTTTAAATTAATTCATGTCCGACCGCGCCTTCAGGTATAATAATAAAAGAAAATCAATAAATTAATCCCACCCAGACGAGAACGAGTTTGGCCCTGACGCATTCCAATCGGCGCGAGTGATTCCCAAAATCTCTATGAGGTAGGTGCCGAATTTCGTGTGATGCAATGGACCACTAAAAAGGTCGATGCTCTTCTCCACGCGACTCGGCACAAAACTCGTTTGTCTCTGGGAGGCAAATTAAAATCTTGTGCGTATCCTGCTGTCCGGGTGATTTATCGTACGTCGGTTCAAAATTCGTTGGAGTCTAGGAGAGCTGAATATTGCCGTCCAAATGGCTCGAATCGCCAAAGGGACCGTCTTCATCATCATACTAATTGCCGGAGTGGCCACTGCTGAGATGGTAGTTTGCTTTTTTTTTAATTTCTAAATGAGCTTTAATCGAGAGCGCCTATCATACTCGCATTAATATTAATGGCATAGAGGCGTCTTCAATTTAATTCAAGATGGGATCATTAGCATTTTTAGCGGTACCACGCCTATAATCGCTCAAGCAAAAACGTATTATTGTACAAGTCCGCGATTTTTTTTTATTACAAGTTGAGATAAGGCTTTCGCTTGATGGATATGAAACTTGTAACAAACCGTCTTAATTTTAGTATTTTCTCCATGAACTTTTTCTGATGAGAGTGCTAAGGTTCCATGTTATAATTGTATAGAATCAAAAACCACAATTTACGACATTGATTGGTGACAAAACTAAATGAAATAATTTTTACAGTTATTTAAATGGGTAATTACCGTGATCAGTGTGCAATTATATGGACCTTAATCAATTACTTTAATTCTGGAGGTAACTATTTTCATCATTGCAGCCTATTTAAAGCAGAAGAATAGAAGAAAGATTAACAAAGAGGAATTAAAGTGGATTTTTCTCGATTTTTTCCCCGCTAATAGCTGAAAGTAACAAAAATAAACGAAGCCCTGCTCTATAATTTTCCTGAGAATTTAACACCAAAAATATTTATAAGTAGTGACGACCAAAATTTTAATAAATAATTAAATATTTAAAAAGATAATCAGAAATCAGAAGCTCGTTAGAAAATCTTGTTGCAATGAGTGGTCATCGTGATTGCGGCTATTTGATTACTGATACTATGTATAAAAGATATTAACCATTCGTTGGAAATAAAATCAATAATATTCCAATTGAAGCAAACTGCACTAAAATTGTGAGAGAAAGATTAATAATAAATAAATTACATTAAACAAACAAAGTTATATATTTCTATATACATTTTTTTTAAATTATCCCACATAAAAATTATGAACTTGAAATTGCAATTTCAGAATGGTACAAAAAGAAACAACCAAGGACGGATTCTTGGCGGAACCACGACCACCATAGACCAGTACCCCTTTCTAGTCTACGTTGAGTCTTTGGTGGAGGGCACTGATTTGAAGCGACCGTGTGGCGGCGCGATTCTCAACGACAACCACGTCCTCACCGCCGCTCAGTGCGTTATATTGTAATGAGTTTAGCATAAAGGAAGGAGAGGACCGTCGGTTTAAATTCAAGAGGCGTTGTTTTTTCTTTCTTTCAGAACGCCATCGATCAAGGTGATCGCGGGCGTTTCAGATCCGACGGACCCGGCAGCGCAGATCTCGTACGGCCACGCGCTTATTCACCCCAGCTACCGGCGCAATTTCCAAATAAACGATATTGCAATAGTGAGACTCGTAAGGCCATTACGGCTTTTCACTGGTAAAACGAACAATTCTGAATATTCGGAATTTTTTTAATATTCATTTTATATCATTCAATTAAAAAAAAATTATATTCTAAAAGCAACCAAAAGAAATCAAAATTTGGCTGTAAATAAGTATTCAAGAGGCTTTAAATTTCACGCCGTTAATTTACATAGCCTGTATGATAAAATGAAAAGAAGTACTTTAAAGTTCAGGGTCAGAGTATATTAATAGTTGCAAATTGCTATTTATTGGGTTCTAATTTTTTTTGTCTTTATTTGTAAATAGACAAATTAAAACCAACAAAGAAATTAAATTGAACTTATTCAAGAGAGAAAGAAACATTGGAAATTATAAGAATTGCTTCTTCATCATTGATTTATAGTAATTTACACAATGATAAAAATTATATTGTTTTAAACGCGTTAAAAATATAATCGGTTTTTTTTAATAAGAGGATTTACTTAAGGAACTGTGTCGCCCGTGAGAATAACAAAGATATCGTCGGTCCATCTGGACAGATTTACAATGCGGACGATCGGTTGGGGTTCGACAGACAGCAGTGCCACAATCCAAACCACTATCAACGAGGTGGACATGGTGCAAATACCAAGAAGAGTATGCAAGGACAAGACGATTGCTATCCACGTCACTTATCCCGCAATGACCTCGTGCCTGGGAACCGATTTAGGCAACAATATTGGCACAAAAGGCTTTTGTTATGTACGTTTCTAAAACCATTATCAAATTTATTTATATTTCTGCCAGTGCAATCAATGAAAACAATTAATCTTGTCAGGGGGACGCAGGTGGACCAGTGCTTTACAAGTTTCAAGGCGACTCTCTATTCACTCTGGTTGGCATTCTGAGTGAGTACCAATTATGTCCTTACGCGTACCCAACAAGCTACACCAGGGTCGGGCCTTACTTTGCTTGGATCAGGAAAGTGGCTAAAAGGTTTGATTCGTAAGAATTGCAATTAAATTAATTAATTATTGTAAAAAAATTTATGAAATTCGTGTTAAATTAAATAGCTTTCAATTGTAAAGAGTCGGATAGTTTTATTTGATAAATATTTTAAATACTTGATCTCAAAGAAAGGATTTCAGATTGTTGCAAAAGTACCATTAGTGAATAAATCTCTAACCTACCACGTTGTTATTGAGTTCCTTCCAAGCACTCGCAACTTTCCGTTATTCTGCTGGCACGAAAATGCCTTTGCCCAATGATCAATACTCGACGGGGTTATACATCATAAAAAACCGCCAGTGGTACAAAGCGCCGTAAGGGTGTCACGTTTTATCTTTAGGGACGTTTCCAAACTTGATTCCAAAAAAAAATATTATTTTCTGCCAGCCAAAGGAGATAAGCATGTTTTTGTAACAGGATTTCTTATCCTTTCCTTCAATTTTAGAAGAAAATAATGCAGAAAAAGTGATTAGATTTATTTAAAGGAAGAGAGTCACTCAGTAGATTAAAAGGAAAATCATTCATCGTTACGTCATGCCGCTTCGATATATTGATCTCTAGTATCTCTACAAAAATATCAAAATACTTTTTATTAATTAAATCACAAATTTATATTAAAAAATTGCAAACTTTTAATTATAAATTTGAAGGAAATACAAGGAGGAACGTACTTGTTTGATCCTCATGCGCTGCACTGGTGAGTTTAAGAAACTTAAATGAGATGTCGAGAATTAAGGGATGGAGCTGCTGCAGAGGCAAAACCACACAATGGATAGAGCCACAGGCCGAAAGTTCTTAGGCCGGTGCTGTTCACCGGGGTCTGTGCCCGTCCATCGTCAGTACACGAGGGCACACGTGAGTCATATCGAGTGGATTTATTTAGTGCGTATGCAAATTTTCAGTGAAATGCGCAACCACAATTCGCCCCGCCACGAACACACAGCATACGCGCAGCCTAATTTCCAACAACACCCTTTTGCCCCCGGACGCGAGAGCGAAACAAACCGGCAACATTTCATTTGGTTCCGCCTGTGTCAGCCACTCAGAAAACCGAAAAAGAGGGCAAGGGTCACAAATATCCTGGTTATAGGGTTGTTTTTAGCGCGACACTGTCATGGGAAAATTTGGTATATGAATGGAGTAAATTTTACTTTTCCCTTAGTTTTTTACTTTATAGTTAAGGTTTGAAATTTTTTCGTCGCTATTTCATGAAACAAAATTCATGACGTTTTATTTTGTTTTTGCTTTGAATATTAACAAGAAAAACTGCATCAATTCAATTGAAATTTACTTTAAAACAATTTTTTATAAAAAACTAATTCACTGTGAAAATAATTAACCAATCTTATATGTAAGGATAGTGGATGAAATACTTTGTACAATCTCCGGGAGCAAAATGAGCATTTAATTATTTTAAACGATAATGTATATTTTCAATTCTTCTAAATTCTCAAATAAAAACTCTTCTTATATTGTTGGATGGGAAACGAGTGGCGAATATGAGGCTCTCGAGATGTGGGTCACGTAGAACAAGCAGCAATGACCGCCCATTTCGGCTGGCCACAAAGGGTTCAGAGGCGAGGGCGAAAAATCTTGCGAAGCTCTAGCATCAGCACTTTTCTCATTTCATATTTCGCGTTTGCCCCTGAACGTCTTTTTATTGTTAATTGCATGGCCACAGCAATGTTCTCTTTCAAGAGGGGTGTCGCGAATTTTTGCTGACTCTGTCACACTCAGTGACTATACAAAACTAGCAGAGCAGCGTCTCCTGGTGTGGTAAAATTCGCTCCACAGATAATTATTATTAAATCAATTGAAAAAAAATACTATTTGTAATATATTTATGTCTCTTTTTCAGGACGAAATAAAATATAAAAACGAAGGAAATGGTTTGAACAAAATTGAAATATTTTTTTATCGTAAAGGTGAGCTTAATTAAATTTCCCAATTTTCAAGTATTTCAACATGAAAGCAACAAATAAATTAAGTAATTTAATAATCTAAGTGCTTGATGTTCCGTTTTGCACGATGCAAGCTGTCGGGAAGCTGCAAGCAAATCGTTTAGGGATCATGCAGTCCGACTTTGCCCATTCCGTCTCCTCAATTTCAGCCCTTTCCACAATCCTGAAATCCATTCCAAAAACGGGATATTTGGGAAAATCCTTTTCTCAACTTGTATTCAACCTTAATTCAACGCAGTCACCGCTTTTGTCGTTGGCGTTCACCAGCTTAATGCTGTTTTTGTCAAAATCGTATCCTCCGACCATCCAGTAAAATCTGCCGTCTTGCGCCATATCGGTCGCTCCCATCCAAAACCCTTCTCCGTCTTGTCCTTTTCCATTTAAATTAGACTTTTTCACATTTAAAACAGTCGCAAACTCGTGCTTCTTTGTCAAAATGGACCCATTTAAGAGGAGAAAATTTGGCTGAAATAAAGAAATTTCACCGTCCTACCTTAAAACGGCAGGCTGCACTGATAAAGTTGAAAGCAGCAAACCCTCCAGTGGTCGGATGAACACTGAAGGGATGTGGAAAAATGGCTTCATCAGATTGACTCTCAACTAATTGGCGTTGCAGTAATTAATTGGGAGAAAGGAGACACCAACACCTTGACATCACATATTAATTGTGCACACAAATAGCTTTTTTAGTTCTTTGAACGCTAATTGCATAATTATATCAAATTTCAAGTTTCTGTTGAAATTGGTTTATATACTTTATCAGCCCCCCAAGTTGACATAGAAACACGATTTTGAGATTTCAATTTATGTTTTTAGTACCATGTTTAACGATGAGACGAGTGAAAGCACTTTCGGCTTGTGGGTTTAAAATCGGAGCCAGGTTCATGCCGTATTTGCGGCAGAAGTGGTAGGCTTGGTACCAGGTCTGACTAATAAAAGTGAGTTACGCCGCTAATTAAGCTGTAAAAACGTCCGCACCTTTGCCATTTTCGAAATATACATTCGCGTCGCCGCTACTCGGAGCAGCCGCATGTCCCCCACTGTAAAAATTCAAGCATCAAACCCCACTAAAAATGTTGGCAAAAAAATATACCTTTCCTTTCGCATGATTTTGTTATCTATATAATTACAACGTCATAAAATGAAAATTGCCTTAATTATTTGAGTTTACAGTGTTGTTATTTTCTTTGGCGGTTGTGCTCGGGAAGACGTTGAAGCACTTGGCGTAGCATTCAAATTCGTTTCGATTTACATCCTCGTCTATATATGAAATGGACGAATCAAACTAAAAATGTTGTGTTAAATTTCAGATGAGTTTTACCAGAATCTTCTGGTAACGATGGTATTTCCCATGGCATTTGTGCGCTTATCTAAATGTGTAAGATGAAATTTCGTTTGTTAAGTAAGGAGTGTGAAAATTCGTACCAGCGACGAGAAGGAGATAAAAAGCAAATAAACCAAAGCTTTCATTTCACGGAGTAGCCACGTTCTGCATCAACACACATCCGCTGGCGTTTCTAGTTTCTAGCGAGAGGAAATGAAAACGAATGGCGCTGGCATCCACTTCATAAAAAAGATTTTTTTTTTCTAAAATTATATTTAAATAATTTTTTTATAATTAGTTGAAGTTGATTTGCCTATAATTAAGAAACGAGCATCTTGCATTTTTATATTATTGCTTTAATGCATGTTCAACTTATTAGACAGAATTAGCTAACTTTTACACATTTCCATTTTATGCACCACAACACATGACTAATATTATATCTCATTTAGAAATAACTCATAATAAACTTTCTAAACCGCAAATCCGGCTGAAACAAATTTTACGTGATCACATTGCTCAAAATTGGAATGCCTTGGTTATCAACAACATTTACATGATGCATACATAATTATTGTACAGTTTGTTTGTTCCGATATACTTCGTTTACACACGTATTTACATAATCAGGGCTGAATGGCACCAGAAGTGGTAATTTTAAACAGTGTGAACCAATTAACGCTTAAAGATATGGTAAATAACTTTTCTACACCAATACTGATGGATGTTTACAGTGCGTCATCAGTCCCCTTACGACTTTACTCCTCCAGACTGCCCTTGTTCTTTCTCCAATTGTTTACCCAGGTACTCCCTAAAACCGAATTAAATTCCTTGTTATTGACAAACAGAACCAAATCGTTTTTTTTTTTTAATTAAATCAAAATATTGAATATAAAAACTTTGCATACGCTTAGTCTCGGAGAAAATTAAATAGCTTGCTGGAAATAAAATGAAAAGACTAACTACACAGTTAAGAAGTTAGGATTGGCTGTACTCACCAGTTGTGGACCATCAGTTTTTGAACGGCCAGGAGGGCTTCGTAGCGAACGTTGTAGTCCTCGTGGCCCAGAAGCTGCATCACAAGCTGTTTAGCTCCAAGCTGCTCAATGACACTGCAAAATTCCAATTATAACAAATCCGCCCAATAAAAAATAAATTTATTCCATACTTTTTGCCTCTCGGGTAATGTCTGACATATTCGCCAATGTCGAAACTGGCAACACTCAGCTTCAATGGGTCACGACTGGTTTCCAAGATTTTGATCAGGATGTGAAGCAACTCGTGGTTCTTCTCGTTGAGACGGCCAGCATTTTCACGCCAGAATTTGGCAGACTTGTGCACGGGACTCCACTCGAGTCTGCCAGACTTCAGCTCGGTTGCATACTCGTCAAAAGAGCTGAACAGTCAAGTTTAATATTGGTTCCCTTAGAATTTTTTCAAAAGAAAATTACCTCAAATCTTGGACAGAATTGTGCAGTTTCTCATTCAGAAACTCGATGTCCGAAGCAATGTCCTCGTCATCAAACTTGCGCTGCTCCAGAATGCTCAGCTGTTTCAGTACCTTGCAGTGAACCATAGCTACACAGTTCTCCTTTGCAATTAAATTCTCCTCGGGCTTTTCGATCAAGTTCTGTTTTCAATCAAAAGTAAATTAGTTATGATTTAGCTTTGTAGTGAAGACTTACTCTGTAAACTGCCAGGATGATGCGGGTAACTTTTTCTTTCACTGAGTCACTCAGGATATCAGCCAAGATTGGAATGACGTTGTATCTAATAGGAGGTGAAATAACTTAGAGTTTGTTACAGAATGTAGCATTTCTTATAATAGAGCACTAATAAATTTTAAGAAAATTAAGGAAAAACAGGGAAAAAACATGTTTTGGGAGAAAATTATGACAGCTAAAAATTTAAAGGAAAAATATTTATTAAATTTTGTATTACCCTATGTTTATTTATTGTTTAAAGAAAAAATCATTATTGAGAATAATGGAATTTCAATTAGTGACATAGATATAATTATGCTTTAAAAATAACTCACCTGTTCATTCGTCCAGCCAATTCAGGGTTGAAAGTGAGGACCCAAAGACAGAAGATGAGCTGGTACTGAATTTGGAAGTTCTGGCGAGCGGACAGCACAGACAAAAGGGTGGAGAGGCCATCCACAGCAATGAAGGCCTTGCGGTACTCGTCGTGACGCAGCAGCATTTGCAGACACCTGGCCACACTCTGGATGTAATCGTTGTTCTAAAAAATTGAACACAAATTTTAATTTGCAACTCACAAATTACAATCATCGGTCAAGTGCATGCTGTATAAATTTCAAATTGCTAGCTAGATGCCTATTCTAGGGCAAACCAAAGTAATCTCATGGCCGACGGCATCGTGAGACATGTACTCATCGCTGCTGGGCGCTAGGTCGATATTCTCATCGGACAAGATCAATTCCGTAACATTGTCACTCTGGCCAAAAATCAGGGATTAGAAAGAAAATGCTTGGAAACACGCATCCCAACGTTAGTTACACCAGCGCGCTATAATATCTCCAACCAAAGTTCCTCTACATGCACCAAAATGATAATATTTGCCACAGCTACAGACCAGCTTACTTCAGAAAGAAGGGAAGGTATGATTATAGTTTAGTGATACATTATCTAATATAATTATTACAATATAAGAGTGCAAACTATTAGAAACTTGACATTTGACATAATTTCCCGTAATTTCTAATAAAATCTTATATTTTATTTGAGAATTTAGTATTTAATTCATTTATGAAGATTTATATTGTTAGTAATTTGATTGATTTAAATTTCTTTTATAGTCATACATACATTGTAACATTTATTAAACTTATTAAGACGAAGTAATTTTATTAAAAAAAAAAAACATTTGATCAAGTTTCATACAATCATTCAAAAAAATCTTCAAATTTATTCCGTAAATAATGAAACTGCGCTTCTTCAATTTAAAATGCTCAATGGTTGTAACAATTCTAAACCCCTATTGAAAAGATCATTGATATGCAAGTATCCCGTCAACTGTAAATTGACATTCCGTGCATTTTCCTAATTCAAGCAATCAACCTGCAATAAGTTTAGAAAATTATTCACCTGCTTCTGAAGTTCATCCTTCAGCCATGTGAGATAGAACTGCAGGTCGGAGCGCTCCATGGGGTCGACACTCCAGCAAGCCAGTTTGGCCACAATCCTGGAGGTCATGTTGACAATGAAACCGTCAGGTCTGTTCAGCATGTTGAGAAATGGACTCCAGAGTGACTCTCGTTTGCGAGCAGAGTGTTCTCGGAAAATCTCAACCCGGGTGCGATCCTCCTAAAGTTATTTGAATTAACTTTTGAAAATGTTTAACGTTTTCAAAATCACACCTGCAGCAAATCATCAAGCATGACAAGGATGTACTGGATGGTCTGGTCTTTGGACACATGACCAAGGAGGCTGAGGAAGGTCTTGGCACACTGAGCCCTTTGGCTCTTCAGCAGCTGCTCCCTGGCTTTTCCGTCGGTGGCATTGTCAAGGGCAACGATGAAGGTGTAGTCCTCGTTGGAAATCATTTGAGACCTTCAAAAGGAAAATAATCAATTTTAAGAAGTTATGCAATTATTTCAAAAGAAGTCAAAACATACTGCTGATAGGACTGCCAATTTACCCGTTGCTGGCGAATTTCAGCTGCCTGCTGCTGGAGTACGCTGGTTGCCGCTAACATGTCTATGAAAATGAAACCATTTTTAAACTTACAACTCTTCAAAAGCTACGCAAATTCTTCTGCATGTAAATCTTGAGTTTTTTTTTTTAATCGCAACAAAACGGTATGATTTATATTTAAATCGCCTGCAAAATTTAAAATTTCTTAACAGATGGGAGTGCTTTTTACCAATTTTCTCGTCCGGGAGAGGAGGCAGCACCCCACCCGCCGATGAAATGTTTGTCGACATACTCAATTGTCACTTTCGGTGCGACCCGAAAACTCAAATTCGATTCAACTTTGGAAAAATTGCTTCTCGGTGGCTGGCGATTGATTTTTTGGTTGCAGCTGAGAAAATGGGGGCGTGGTTCAATCAAAATTTGCGTGATTCATTGCCAACATAAAAAATATTTCCTGTCAGCCAATGATATTAGTAAAATATAAAATTAAACCAAAATCAACCAAATGAAATAAAATTTTTATATTCAGGTCCAAAACAATTTTTTTTGCAGATTATGATGCATATTATAGTCAAAATTTAGGCTGACAAGAAATAAAATTATTGCAAGCCTGATTGAGCTAAAGTCAAGGCAGTGGTGCTGCCTTTGGCGCGAGAGTGGTGCTAATGAAGATTAGAGCGTAAATAATTGTAAATTTTTTGATAATATTTAACGTTTACAAATAAATATTCAAGGAAGAGGTAAACTATTTTGCTTAATTTGCTTTATGTGAAAAAAAACGTTGTTGAATTGTAATATTATAATGAAAATTACAGCATGGTGCAAAAATTGCAATATTCCTATTGATTCCTATAAAAGGTAAAAAACACGTTACAAACGTATTAAATAAAAGAATATTAATAAAAAATTTGCAAATTTTCCAGTTTTCTTATACATACTGGAAAACTCTAATCTTAAATAATAATTTACCTTTTTTCAATTTTGCATACATAAAATAGTATGAAAAATAAAAATCTTATGTGTATAGCAAGTTATTGACTAATTATTATGGTTTTTATGTTAATAATATAATAATGCATCATAAAAAAAATTAATTCATCATTATCATCATTTTATATTAACTTGAAAGTACATTTAAAAATAAGGAAGGGCTTAAAATTAGTAGAATAATACATTCTGATTAAATTAAAATTTTTTTAGTCCATGAATTAATCAAAATTCACAAATTATGGTCTCCTTAAAACATTTTTTCAAATTATATAGCAATTAGGGAAATACCAAACTGATTGTGAGATAATTTTTTATGTATGGAACAATGTATCTTTCTAGTATCCTGCTGGTATCGTTCAAAACTGAAAACTCAATTATTGACGAATTGACATTTTGTGTAAACTATATACATTTATTTTTCATTAATTAATAATTTACCTTATACATATTTATGTATGAATTATGAATATTTATAAATTATAACAGAATCCCAACAAGTCTTGAAGTTTACTACGTTGATCCGTTCGCGCTCGCTCTCATCGCGTCGCGCACGCCGCCACGCATTCGGGGGGCTCGGCGGACATTATTCCCACGATCCCTCACGCTCACTCCCCAACTCCTCTCTCCAGGACACACTTGTCAGGATGGTCCGGAGACTCTAGCTGAACTCTAGGCGCGTTGGGCCGGCTCTATCCCTCTGCGGGACGGAGTTCTCCGGCCGCTGGATTCGAAAAAGCTGCACGCAGAATTTTCTAAGTCCCGCTGCGCTTTATCTGCTGCTTCAACTGCCAACAGCTCACTCCTTTTGGGGCGCCGATCTTTCCCGCTGCTCTATCTGCCGCCGGAGAAGATCTGGAGGCTCTTTTGCACCTCCCTACGAGGCGGCTTTTCTTCTCGACGGAAGATCTGCGGTGCTCCAACGCTGGATGCTCTCGAAGTTCGAAGTCCCCCGGTGACTCTATCTCTCTGCAAGGCTGATCTGATCTGCGGCGATTTGGCTCCTCCCTCTGGCTGCAGGATCCGCTGCTTGGATAGAAACATTATCGCATCGGGATTCAACTAACGTAACGCGTGGCTCCATAAACCGTGCACAGGTTTACAGAGCCAGCGTTTGCTGCAGCCAGACTGAGTAGGGAAACCGGCATAGCCTCCGGCTGCCCTCCTCAGCCTGACCCGCAGGTCAGCCTGGTGGCAGCCCTTGCGGGCCGCCGGGGGTCTCCGCTCCCCGCTCCCGAAGGAGCCGGAGCAAAGAGTGCGCCGCTTACCGAGCGGCTCGGGTTTTTATATCATTTCTTCTCATTTGCATACATCGACGATCTCGGGAAATCGGAGACCCCTAACTCCACCTTTCTTCTAGAAGGTTCTCGAACTTTCCAATGCTTAAGGCATAGGAGATGATCACACTCCCCTCTTGCCGCACTCTGATTGGCCGCCCAAACTCCAGGGGGCTGGCCGAAGCCGCAGCGCCCGCGACACGTCGCCACTCGCCTGCATAAGAAAGGCCAGGGTAAAAATCAGCGGAACTAACTTTCTCTTCCCACTCCTTCTCTCTCGCTGCTGGCGCCGGCGCACAGAGCGCCCCTCTTCCGCTGCAGCCAACACATCAGCTGGGCATGAAAACAAAGCTAAATCCTCGGCAAACAAAATCGCGGCTCTGATGATAAATAAACAAAATGCTTAAGCGAGGAACAACAATAAACAATAAAGATGGTGAATCAAATCCTCCCTTCCGAGCTTAGCATTTCACTAGCTCCTCTAGCGCATCTTAAAGCTCTTGAAGATCTCTGGTGGTGGTTGACAAACTCTTCAGGCTGATAGGCTCCCCCCCGGGCTTCGTGCTTCTTCTTGGAAAAATAAAAAACTTAGACTACGTGAACACTGAGGCTCGAATAAAACTTAAAAGCACACATTAAAACGGCTAAAACTCCACTCGGGAGATGACTAGCTCAAACATGATGGACACAAATCGGTGGTTGACTAAATCTTGACTTGATCTGGTAGACACATATTCGGTTGATTCGCATAAATTGGGTTACTACAGATAGACGGTTGACTTCGCACATTGTCGGCGGGCTACTTCCCAAAACGCTCAGGACTCTCCACGGCCCTGGCTAACTCTTCAAAAATATCCCGCAACCTCCTGAAGCATATCTCTTAACATGATCATGATTTTCTCTCTCTCTTCACTATTTGGCGCGCCCGTGCACGTCTGCACGACTTCTCTCTCTTAGACTTCACTAACTTCTTCTGGAGACTTCTCCTCCAGCCTCCAGGGTTGCGCAGAAACTTCTTCTATCTTCACCTCTGGTACCAGGCATCTGAACTCTTCATGTTCATATTATATCTTTATATATCTGGATCCTTAAATTTTCTTCATTATTCATATTCATATCTCTCTCTCTGAAGTAATTCTTTCTTGAGCGCTCATCATGATGACTCTTCAGCGTCAACTCTTCCTCTCGCCGACTCTGCTTGACGACTCTTAGTAAACTCTTCATCTTCCACCACTTCTCTTCAAATTTGGTACCCTGGTGCGAAATACAACCTCACGTCTTCTGAAGATCTCGGACGAAAAGGACAGCAAAACTTCCTCCCTGACTTATCACTGAGCTGCGCACTTGAATAGAGTGGCCGAAAACACAAGTCGTCCTTAACCAGCTAACTGGCAAAAGCACAATCGAGAAGAGATAACTCCCCGCGATCATAAGTGCTGAACGACTGGCTCGAACCTTCATCTCTGCTGCTTCAAAATCCTGTTGATTCACTTGAAGCGCAAAACTCTGCTCAAAAATCACGACTTGCAAAACTCAGGATTGTCAGACTCGTTGAATTTCCCACGATGGAAGATTCCCTGATGACTGTCCCACGACGGATGTTCCTCGATGCAGCTCTCCCGAGCTGTGATGAATAAAACGATAAAACTCTAATGTTCTAAAAGCTTTAAAACTTACGGCACAATCTAAAAACTCTTGGCAGTTGATATATTCTCTGAAGTTGATTTAATTCGTTCTATAGCAACTTCCTCCCGAAGTTAACTCTATGCTCTACCGGCACATCTTAGCACATCAATTCACAAGCTGAACACTTCGTTGGCAAACTCTTGCATTATTTGAAGCTACTCTAGTTGGTTGGCAGACAGTTCTGCTTTGATGCTCAAAACGCTGCATCTGAGGTTACTCCAACTCTCTAATCTTTCTCAGGCCTCCCTCTGCATGACCATCGGCACCCATCTGTCCCGCATGAATAGTTCTGCCGTCCTGCAATGAAGATCTAAACCATTCCTGCTTCAGATCCACCGCGGACCGGTTGTCAAAACATTCAAGATCCTGGGCCAGCCGGGGTTTCCGTCAAACAAAGTTCCTCCCTCATAAGATCACTGATTATTGCTTCTCGGCTTCTGAGTTCTCCTTGATGGTGTTTCGTATTTCTGCGTTCGGTTCACTTGCTAACTAAACTTCTGTGCTCTTTGATATCTGAAGATTTCACTGATGTTTCGCCTGTTTTCCTTGTAGAGTTGACTTTCGCAACCTGAACTTAATTCAGTCACCTTTAAGCTGAATCTGCTAATATTTGGTGCTGAGGCTCAAATCTGCGTTGAAATGTACTTTCTCAGTAATTTCCTTCGGGATGCTTCTAAACGAAGAAGCTCTCTGTTGATTGAAGATTTTAGCTCTAATAGTGCTGTTGAAGTTCTCTTGATTAATTTTGATCTTGCATGTCGTTAGCTATATCTGAAGTTGCTCTGCGACTCGTAGCATCTCTTGCAGTTTAAGGAATTTTGAAGATCTTCGCACTTAAGGGTTGCGCAGTCCCTTTCATACTCAATCTCAAAGACTTCCTCTTTGAAGTTCGCAGATTATCCTATCTGTAGAGCAACTCTGAAGATCCTTGAAGGTCTTGAAGCTGAAGATCTCGAAAGCTTCACGGTGTGATTTTTTTTCCTGGGACTTAGAATTTCTCTGGAAGTTAAGTGGGTGATGTATTTTTCCTGTCTGAGTGAGGTTCATTCAAAGCTGGAGCAATCCCACTTCTGACACCACTTGATCCGTGTCAGAAGTGCTTCAGAAGTTAGCTCAATTTGCTGACGGATGCTCGCGAGAAGTTTTTTCAAATCCCACTTCTGACACCACTTGATCCGTGTCAGAAGTGCTTCAAAAGTCAGCTCAGGCTGAGGGGATGCTCGTGGGCAGCTCTGCTTCAAATCCCACTTCTGACACCACTTGATCCGTGTCAGAAGTGCTTCAAAAGTCAGCTCAGGCTGAGGGGATGCTCGTGGGCAGCTCTGCTTCAAATCCCACTTCTGACACCACTTGATCCGTGTCAGAAGTGCTTCAGAAGTTAGCTCAATTTGCTGACGGATGCTCGCGAGAAGTTTTTTCAAATCCCACTTCTGACACCACTTGATCCGTTCGCGCTCGCTCTCATCGCGTCGCGCACGCCGCCACGCATTCGGGGGGCTCGGCGGACATTATTCCCACGATCCCTCACGCTCACTCCCCAACTCCTCTCTCCAGGACACACTTGTCAGGATGGTCCGGAGACTCTAGCTGAACTCTAGGCGCGTTGGGCCGGCTCTATCCCTCTGCGGGACGGAGTTCTCCGGCCGCTGGATTCGAAAAAGCTGCACGCAGAATTTTCTAAGTCCCGCTGCGCTTTATCTGCTGCTTCAACTGCCAACAGCTCACTCCTTTTGGGGCGCCGATCTTTCCCGCTGCTCTATCTGCCGCCGGAGAAGATCTGGAGGCTCTTTTGCACCTCCCTACGAGGCGGCTTTTCTTCTCGACGGAAGATCTGCGGTGCTCCAACGCTGGATGCTCTCGAAGTTCGAAGTCCCCCGGTGACTCTATCTCTCTGCAAGGCTGATCTGATCTGCGGCGATTTGGCTCCTCCCTCTGGCTGCAGGATCCGCTGCTTGGATAGAAACATTATCGCATCGGGATTCAACTAACGTAACGCGTGGCTCCATAAACCGTGCACAGGTTTACAGAGCCAGCGTTTGCTGCAGCCAGACTGAGTAGGGAAACCGGCATAGCCTCCGGCTGCCCTCCTCAGCCTGACCCGCAGGTCAGCCTGGTGGCAGCCCTTGCGGGCCGCCGGGGGTCTCCGCTCCCCGCTCCCGAAGGAGCCGGAGCAAAGAGTGCGCCGCTTACCGAGCGGCTCGGGTTTTTATATCATTTCTTCTCATTTGCATACATCGACGATCTCGGGAAATCGGAGACCCCTAACTCCACCTTTCTTCTAGAAGGTTCTCGAACTTTCCAATGCTTAAGGCATAGGAGATGATCACACTCCCCTCTTGCCGCACTCTGATTGGCCGCCCAAACTCCAGGGGGCTGGCCGAAGCCGCAGCGCCCGCGACACGTCGCCACTCGCCTGCATAAGAAAGGCCAGGGTAAAAATCAGCGGAACTAACTTTCTCTTCCCACTCCTTCTCTCTCGCTGCTGGCGCCGGCGCACAGAGCGCCCCTCTTCCGCTGCAGCCAACACATCAGCTGGGCATGAAAACAAAGCTAAATCCTCGGCAAACAAAATCGCGGCTCTGATGATAAATAAACAAAATGCTTAAGCGAGGAACAACAATAAACAATAAAGATGGTGAATCAACGTGTTTATTTTTTTTCGCGCCCTTGACGCGATAAGAAATAATTCCGCATTGCAATTGGCTGTGCCTCCGAGGCACAAGCTTTCTCGTCCAATCAGAGATCGGGAATTTTTCTCAAGACACTGCTCGCACCAAGCATTTGGGTCACCTCCAAGCGCAACCAAACCCACCACAAAAGCGGTCAAATCTCGCCCTGAAAGGAGCACGCAGGCTCCTCTCGCGCGTTCACCGTTATCCTTGGCCAAACGCACTTGAGGAAATTTCCCCTTTTAGTGTGTCACTATTTCTCCGCGAGCTGTGGATTTCCGCGAACAAAACATATCGGACGCGCTGAATGTTGAGGCCCTCAAATCACAGCAGCCCTGATTTAAAATCTCAGCGAGCGCCATATTGAGGAACAACAACCTGTCGCTTGGGATTTAAACCTGCTGAGATTGGTGTTTTATTCCATGGCCTGTTTCTTCCGGACGTGAAGACCATGTTGCCGAAGAGGCAGACCAAGCCCGAGATGGGCCCTCCCAAATACCAGCCGCCGCCGCAGGTGACCAAACCATCGACGACAGGTGCGGACACTCGACCGCAGCAACCTTCCAAAATCAAGGAAGTGGTTGCTCGTCCGGCGTCCACCGGCCTTCTGCAGGATGAAATTATCCGACCTGTCAGCCCGAGCCGTGGTCCGATGCCCAAGAGGGCCGTTGATGACCTGATGGTGCGTCCAGGACTGCCCAACCACATGGGCAACCTCGAGAGACCCGCCTGGAGACCCATGTCGGACGAAGAGCTTTTGCACCGACCGCCTCAAGAAATGCTGCGAATTGTCCGAGCTGCCGAGTCCGAGATGGCCCGTCTTCAGTCCGAGCATGGCCAGTGGGTCCAGGACGCCCGGACGCGTCTGCAGACAAGCGCCAATGAGCTGAGATCCGCACAGGTAATAAAATAATATAAAATAGGTAAAATTAGGAATCTGGCTGAAACCTCAGTGTTTTTATTTTAAAATAATTTTTTGAATTTTTATATAATTATTTATTTATAATTTTTGTTTAATATTACTGATTGATTGCTCGTATTAAAATGATTTTGGAAAGAAAAATTTAATACGTAATTTAAAATTTAATTTATATCGCCATCACTAAAAAATAAAAACTCAGTTTTATTTTAAAGAGTTTTAGCAGAGATTTGAACGAGAGCAATTTTTATCACATTTTTAATTATTTAATATTAACAAACTAAAGAATAAAATTAAATATTAATTGAAACAAAAATTGACCGTTTTTTAGGATTTGGCACGCAGACTTCAGGATGATAATCAGGAACTGCGAGATTTGTGTTGTTTCCTAGACGACGACAGACAAAAAGGCAGAAAATTGGCGCGCGAGTGGCAGCGTTTTGGCCGATACACAGCGAGTGTAATGAGGCAAGAAGTGTCTTCTTATCAAGGGAAGCTGAGGGAACTCGACAACAGGCAGCATGAGCTTATCAGAGACAACCTCGAATTAAAGGTTTGACTTTAAATAATTTAAATAAAATGAATTCATAGCATTGAATAGATAAAATTTTTAAACAATTATGAATGTATAAACATACTAATCTTTTCTTACGAAAAAAACTTTAAATTTGAATGCAAAAATAAAGTTAATTTCCAGTAATTGAAAAAAAAAATTTATTTTATTTTCTGCATAATGCATAATGCAACTATTTTTAATTATTTAGGTAAAATTTTATACTATCTTTATTTCCAGGAATTATGTCTATACTTAGATGAAGAAAGAAACAGTCAGACAAACTGTCCATCATGTGGTGCATCTCTGCGTCCAGGAACCAGAGATGATGGCGACGGCAGCAGTTCGAGCACAAATGCTGATGAGCCGAACTTGCCAGTTGCTCCCAACGCCACACCTGCTCCCCAGTACATCCATCGATCAGAGAGCAGAGACAGACTCATGGAGGACAGCATCACCAGACAACGAAACACTTTTAATGGTAATTCGTAGAAACCACAATTAACTTTTAATAATGAGATCATCGTCCAATTACAGACCAACTAGTGGGCTACATTCGTAGTTTGGAGCAGCGAGTGGTGCAGATGGAAGACGAGCGACGTGCTCTCCAAACGAGACTCACGCCAGGGTCAACTGACCAACCGGTTTTGGCCCCAAATCGAAACCAGCCTATGGAGGTATTGTTTGTTAATAAAATGTGTCAAAAACTTCACATTTAAAAAGAATCGTTTGGAACAGTCTAGGCCAGAGGCAGTGGTGCACGCCCTCCAGGTGCTCCAAGTTCGAGAACAACTTGAAAGAAGCAACCCTAGCTCCGTGCCACAGGTGGCACCTCCAGTTGTTCCACCGCCACCACCTCAGAACACGCCCATTTCCAACATCAACCTACCTGAGGGTCCACCTGATCTAGACGATGGAGAAAAAGCTCTCGTTAGAGAAATGTGCAATGTAAGAATTTTTATTCTTACAATTAGAAAATAAAGTCTAATGGAACCTCTTTTTTTCTTATAGGTTGTTTGGCGAAAACTTGAAGAGGCTCCAGCAATTAATAGACGGTGAGGTTTTTCCAAATGAAGAAAAATTTTGTCGAAAGTGCAATTTTACTTCCAGACAAATATATTTAATTTATGCTTCCAGTATTAGTAGCTACAGGAAATATAAAGAAAAATATTATTTATTTTTACTATGCAGTTTACAATAATTGTTTATCTGTACTTGCCACATTTTCATGTTGTGATTGGTTGTGGTTTTTATATAAAATGAACAGATCTTGCCGCATTATTGCTCACTATAGAATTTATTGGAATAATAATCAAACTTTGTAAATGCCCACTTTATTTTTGTAATTCCTGAACAGACCAGTGCAAGTTATTTCCGAAGTAATAATAAACCTGGGAATCTTTAAAAGTAAACTTGAATGTATTTGTTTTAATCAAACAAATCTGCCTCTAAATTTTCTCTCGATGGAAAACTCTGCTGAGTACCCTTTTGTTTAACTGATATTGCTGCAATTGCACACGACCGTTTTAGAATCTCTGCCATTGTTAATTTAGAATTTTGTGCCAGGTAATAAGCCAAAGCTCCTATAAAAGCGTCACCAGCTCCCTAAAAATAGTAAGGCAAAATAAATTTATTTTGTCTGAATTTTCAAAAAATAATAATCTTACTGTTGTATCAACAGCCTGAACTTGAGGTGCTGCAACATGAATCGGTACTTCAGAATTGCTTGCATAAACTGCTCCCTGACTTCCAAGGGTAAGGATGACTGATTTGCATCCTTTCTCCAACAACTGTCCAACAGCATTTTTTGCTTCTAAAATGGTGTTCACGTTTCCTCCACCAAGAATCATGCTTGCCTGGGAGAAATATTAATTTGAGAAACTTTAAATAAACTCAATATTACCTCTGTTTCGTTGACGCACAGAATGTCACAGGATTTAAGAATATCACTTGATAAATTCGGCCGAGCAGGAGCTGCATTTAAAATCACCAAGCCTAGAAAACAGAATTATGTTTTAGTCTTCCCGCCTCTAAATAGGTATTATAATTTTTACCTCCCGATTTTGCTTGCCTCACAATATCGGCAGTTTGAGTGACCAAGTTTGGATCAGTTTCCAACTGGCAAATCACAACTTTGGCCTTATCAAGCAAGGAATCATCCAGGTCATCTTTGCTAAGAAGATTGTTTGCCCCTGGCACGATCACAATTTGATTTTCACCTAAATTAAGTTTGTGTCAGTATATATGTAATTGGTGATTTCAATTTAATAGCAAACCATTGTCAGCAACAGTAATTTGAGCAATTCCACTTGGCTGTCCTTCAGTTAATTTAACTCCCTTTATGTCAATCTTGTTTTCCTGTAGGGCCTTCAGATATTCTCTCCCAAAAAAATCATCACCAAGCTGCCGAATAAATTTGTAAGTAATTAAAAATATTAATTGGGATAATAAAATTTTACCCTGGCAATAAGAGCGACTTTTGCTCCCAATTTTGAGGCTGCCACAGCCTGATTTGCACCTTTGCCTCCGTGTCCAATGTTGAAAGACGTACCATGAAGAGTTTCTCCAGGATTTGGCAGTCGAGGAGCAAAGCTGATGGGTTAGCAAAAAAATTAATAAAATAAATACGAGTAGTTTACTTGGTGCAATTTCTTGAACAAATACAATAAAAAAATGCATGTTATTAAATTGATGTGCAAAAACAAACCATGACAAGTCAATCATGCAGGAACCGACGACTACGATTTGCGCTTCTTCGATCATTGTTTTATTTCAATCAGGGAAGGGCACACGCAAAATTATTCTGAAAGAGGAGCAAGAAAGTTACTTTGTCATTTGTTTCATAAATGAAAAAGCATACAAAGGAAGCTCAGTTCCGTAGTTCAGGAGGGTGCTCAAAGTTTTAAAAGTTAACGGAGTTAAAATTTTATTTCTGCTGCTTCTGATTTACCATTGCAAAGTGGAGATTTTTTATGCTACGTGCCTTATCTTTGATGTTTGTGCTATCGTGTTCTTATCAGCAAAACTTGGAAACATTAAAGTTGGACTCTTTAAACGCAAGCAATCTACAAGTGGAAACACAAGTTTAAACTTGGCGCAACTGATTTCGAATGGTGATTGGACAAGCCGAATTCGCCGTCGTTGATTGGTCAAATGAATAAACAAGAACAACTGTGCATGTGCATGATGTTGTGCACCGGGCGTGATGTGCCATGTGCCTGTGCCGCTCATGTGTTCATTTTAATTGTGTTCTGTCAATATAAATAAAAATTTTACTGAAGACTGAAGACTGAAGATCACTCACATTTTGAAAGTGCCTCTTCAATAATGCGAGGAATGGAATGGCGAGGAAGGTAGAAGGTAAGGTAATTTATTTTACTATATTTACATAAAAACACAGTCAAAAAAAGTTCCATGCCGCGGCATGGATTTCGGCTCAGGTCATTTTCGAGCAAAATCGACCTAAGGCCACGGCATGGCCATACCAGCGGCATGAGGGGTAGTCGGCATGACCTGCATGCCGCTTTCCGCACCTGGCATGCATGCCAGTACCGGATCAGCCTGGCCTGCATGCCGTCCGGTTGGCCTGGCCTGCATGCCGTTCGGCAGGCCTGGCCTGCATGCCACTCAGATTTTAGGATTTGCATATTTAGTTACTAAATAATACCAATGTTTACTTTTTAAAATTTATTTTTTAATAGTAATATAATACCCACAATCTTTGAAATTATTTTTACATCAAACTTAAAATTTTCTTCCTTCGTTCCTGCTCCACGCGTACGTACGGTCCAATAGTTCATCAAACTTTCCTAATTTGTCGGCATTGTTCACTTGCAGAACAGGATTTGCAAAATCTGTAAAAAAAAACTAAAATAAGATCTCATATTCACATATATTTGATTTAAAATATAAAACGTATAAGCTTAAAATAAGCTTTATTACAGCAACTTGTAACATGTTATTCAAAATTTATGGTACTAAAATTATAATCTTATTTAAATGAAACAAAAACTACCTTTAATAACTGCAAGATGGCATAACGCAAATTCCGATGAATTTTTTTCAGCATTTTCTCGGTTGAGAAATAGTCTCTCCTCATCACACTGAAAAATTCAAACAACAAAATTAAAAAATTATTAAATTGTGAGCAATGCAAATTTTGCATTTTAGTTGCTTTTTTTAATTAATTATTGCTTGTTACCTGAAATTAATTTCCAAAAATCAGTCCGCGGCTGCAGATTTGGCAGAGATGGTGAGAGGAAAGAAATATTGGCTGTCCCGCCGCTGAGTTGATGTGCCCGATGATAGGGGCTGCGCTCTCGCGTCGCGAGGGGGATGCCGGCGACTTTTTTTCTTCATCTTTTGCTCCTAAGTTTGATTCCAAACGGATTCTAAGCAGCTCAGCTTCTTAAGGAAATATTCCTGCGTGTCGCACTTTGTCTTAAAATGTCCTTACGCGCTTATTTCGACGCACAAATGAATAAAATTAACACCTGCCGCGGCCATAACACTCCATACGAGCTCAGGTAAAAAATGTGCTCGGAAAGTTCGTTGGGCGCTCAGGGCGCTGGCGCAAAGGTCGCGAAGAGCGCCGATGTTGAGCGAGGGTGAAATTTGAACCAATATGCGCGGGAAGCACCTTCAGGTAAAGCCACCAGTCAGGGCAGAATCATGATTTGAGTATTTCTAATTACTTCATATTTTCATATACGCTCAAATGAGTTGGAATCGTAACAAAAATACTAAATCTTATGTAATATGCCCAGATTCAATGAAAATTTTCACAATAATAATTTGTAATACGCGCCTCCTTAAAAATAATTTCAATATATGAAAGCCATATTATTTTAGATCTGTAATACACAAATTAGAGCCTTGATATGATGTGTAATAATTTGCAAAGTAGCTTACACATGTCTAATTTCAAACATAATTGATATTTTCAATTAGGAAAATTTAAAATAATATTGTTAATTTTACGTCTGATAAAATAAAATTTTAGATCCAGTCGTCGCACAAAATTGTAAAATAAGAGTAAAATATCAAATCAAATTTAAACTAATATCCATCACTGCAACTTCAAGTATTTTTCTACGTAAAAATTTAGTCAACATACCTTTCTTAGTTTATGTTAAGTAAAATTTTAATGTTAATAATACACGCATAATAAAAGTTAATTATTAAGATTTTTAAAATTTTTCTTCTATTTTTACTTTCATTTAGTCAAATTAAAACAACTTTGAATGAAATAAAATTAAATGTTTTCGGCAGGTTTTGGACAAAAAAATTTAAGTGTTTCGTGGACTTGCAAGCGGCTTGCATGCCCTGTGAAGGAAAAGCTATGCCGGCATGATTAAATTTAGTTAGGCATGGACGGCATGGTAATACTCCATGCCATGCCGAACCGACTTCATGCCGTGGTATGAGGACTTTTTAAGCAGCATGATCGAGCTATGCCGCGGCATGACCACTGATGGACTGGCATAAGGACGGCATAGAGATTTCAGGCCGCGGCATGGAGCTTTTTTTGACTGTGAATGTTTATTTCTTTTCAATATTTTTTATATGCTTTTTCACAAAATACATAGCGTATGGAATTTTCCATATTTTTGTATAATATTTATTTTTAAATTACAATTTAAATAGCCGCATAAACTCACTGAGTACATACATTATTTTTTTGCAACCCTATGATAAAAATTTGAATATTATTTTCAGCAATGAACAAAGAAATGAATTTGCTAATTGGGAACAAATTTTATTTTCTTTCTCGCTTTTACATAAATGAGCAATGCCGTCCTTTTTTTTGCTCTAACTATGCAAACGTGAATTGGCTCGTGTCAGTCAAGCTGGTCATGGCGATTGTTTCAACCGTGGCTGGCAATTCTGGCAAAAAAATATTTTTTATGTAATTTTAGCATTTAACTTTCAATTCATAATAAATAATTTCGTGACGCTTACTGATATCATAATAATCTGCCACATCTCCAGCATCCTTCCGTGCCGAGTCCAAAGCATTCCTCAGCGCGAAAAAGCACACGATCGACATATTCAAGGCCGGTTCACCAGTGGCTGAAATAAAAGATGAAACATGAAACTTTAAATTTCAATGTCCTCTTAAAGCTTTTTTATTTTGATTTATATATATACAATTTAATTTGATGAAAAGATTAATTTACCCTTTGAGTTCAGCAACCCCAGAGGGTTGGATGCGTTCTTCCTGAAATTGATCCTAAAATCGGCCGGAATGTCTTTAGCTCCTGGCACTTTATAGTTCTGGAAGAATTATAATAAGAATTCGGTTTTCCTGAAGAAAAAAAAAATTAGTAACTTGAACTTGCTTAAAATTAATTACATTTCTAACTGAGGTATTCGCCACAACGTCAAGGTGGTTTGCAAGTTCGGTGAGGTATGAGTAACCGGTAATGGCCGCCTGGGTCTTGAAGGCGGCGATGGCCTCTGTCAGGGTAACGTTGGCGCCGACGGTGAAGCCTCCGGAGGTGTTTATTGTGCGAAGATCTGGCACGTCTTTGACATCGATGCGGGCGTCGAATTGGCGATTGTAGTGGCGGTAGACGCCTTCGGCGGTGTTTCCGGCCGACAACTGGTAGACGGTTGCTCCGAGGGAGGTGATCACCGAAAACAGGTCATTCAAAGTGGTCACCTTGTACCAGTTTGCGGCGGGAATTTTCACCGACTTTGGCACAATTTCTTCAAAATTCGAGTCTTTCTTGCAGGAGCCAGAGCAAGCAAGACCGGTTTTAGAGCAAATTTTGTACATATCCTAAAACAAAATATGGAAAAGTAAACCATCAAAATTTCCCATTCATAAAGTTATAATTGTGAATATAAATTTTGATTACTTCAATATCAGCGCACTGCTTTTTCATCATTGGCGTTGCGTCCTTAGCAAGAGCCTTGAAGGCGTCCAGAATTGAGCGATAGCCCGTGCACCTGCACAAATTTCCACCAAAAGCGTTCTCCACCTCAGCCATAGTTGGTGTTTTTCCATCAGCAACCAAACTTTAAATAAAATACTAATATGTGCATTCACGTCCGCAAATAATTCAGTTGAAAATATTGAATAACATCCTGCTTATATTGAAATTTAAATTGATTAAAATTTACAAACTAAAATTTAAATTACTTTAACAGAGTTTTATTATTAAAAATCATGCGTGATATCTCACCTGTACATATTCATGACCATTCCGGGTGAGCAGAATCCACATTGAGTTCCATTGAATTGGGCCAAATTCGCTTGAACAGGATGGTAGCCGTCCCGTTTGTTGCCAATTCCCTCCACCGTCCGAATATCCCATCCGTGACACGCAAAAACCGGCACCAAACACTTTCGAAAATTAATACAATTTTCTCTAAAGCTCTCAATTTTTTTAATATATCATTTTACCGAATTGATGGAGAGAGTTTGTTTTTGCTTGGTGACGGGGTGCTCGATGGTCGCGGCGACCACGCAAGCTCCGCACCCTCCTTCGGTGCACATGAACTTGGTTCCTTTTAGTTTGGCCACATCGCGAATATACGTGTTCAACGACGTACCCTCAACCACCTCATTTCCAACTAATTTATATTTAAAAACATGAGCATAAAAAATTATCGCAATTTACTGGAGTTGAAAAAAGAAGCTGTTTTGTACCAAGAAAGAATTTAATAAAATTCGAAATTTATACCTGTGACCTGCTTTCCATTGAGGGTGAATGTCACCTCCAAAGCAGTTGGAGATGGTTCCTCTGAACTAAATTTGCAAAAATAAATTAGCTGAATCATAAGCACTGCATTTTTTGTTTTTCAGAAATGCTTGCTAGATACAAGCAAACCTAGAATTAGTTGAATTTCTTAAATTACCTTCCAAAAATCGCGTTCCACATGATCCAAGTGCCTTATCAAATCTTTGATGAAGACAGTGGGCAATGTGATGAACTGGCCTTATATATAAGGTGATTCTTATCGCCTTATCAAAATAATTGTAAAATCTTGGATGAAAATTAACATTTAAACTAATTTAGTGAAAACAGGTCTCTTTCTTTACTTTTCTTCTCAAATTTCAATTTTTTTTATTTGATTTTACCTCAATGTTAACTTTTTTATTCACGTACCTTAGGATATACTAAAATAGGGGTAAAATTCTGCTATAATTACTATATTATACGACTCTATATATATTTTATTGCGCACTGATAATATACGCCTGAATAGGAGGCCTATCCGATAATCATTTTAAAGTATTCTTTCACAATTAAAAGAACAAAATTTTTAAAAAATGGATGGAAGATAAAAATAAAATACGGTGCGATCATCAATGCATATTCTATGCAGGTATTAATCGAAAATATAGCATTTGAATTTTGTGGACTAATGTGCAACAATTGGATTATATTTTCGCGCTGCGGTTTCCATGTTAAATAAATATGCATATAATTTCTCCAGTCAAATTATATTTAAAAAAAAGGTTTGCGTAAAAAATTAGCCTGTTTTATAAAGGGGAACGTTATAGGAAAGGAAAAACTGCTCATTCTAGTTTCAAATACTTAAAATAATTTAAGATGATAAAGCGTTTATTTATTTTCTTTGGTGATTTTGAGTAACACATCTGTGATATGATATTTAATCAATAAATGGCAATTAATTAATTTAATCTTTTGTAAGATATTTTTTAAATGTAGAATATTTTGATTCACTTATAATACGTCCTTAATTGTCTCTAACAATATAAGTAAGAAAATATGGCACTACACGGAAGCACTAGTCTTGCGTAGAGCTGCAGGCGCAGCCTCCTGAGTCTCCGGAGGGTGAACTGCTATCTGACGTAGGCGTGCAATTGTTATCCGCGTAAATGCTGACTGTACACGTGCCAATAGACGGAGTGTCCAAGACAGAGCTGCGGAAGTTGAAACCGTTGCTTACGTCAAAAAGCGAGTCATAAGGTGGTGGACTGTCCATGGACATGTTGCCGCCGGTAGTCTTTTCATGCCTTCTGCGTGATCTGTTTTGAGTCTGAAACATCCAAAATATAGGTGATCTTCAATAAATCTTAAATTTTTAAATGAGAAATCGATAAAATATTTTATGAATTACCTAAGTTTTGAGAATTTTGATCGAAAAATCTTACATTATCATAATTATATCTGAATTTAATTTATATTGATGTTTTTTTTAATTTAGAATCAATATTCTTTTTTTTTAGCTGGTTGGAATTAAAATAAATTTTATTCAATAATATATTTAAATTTATACTAGACGAAATTTTTAAATAACATTATGGACATAATCAACAAATAGCGGTACCTGTTGCTGTCGGAGCACGTTCGGGTTTTCTCCGAGTTCGGCAATTGCTCTTTTCTTGGCTGATTGGAGACAAGAGAGGGCAACGGCAAAGAAGCAAATGATGCATGCGGCCACAACCACCAAAATTATGATCACGCGGTTATTGGCACCGTCATTTTCAGGCGATATACCGTCCGCAAAAAGCACCACCGCAGCCACCATGACCATTGCAAACGCGATAATTCCAAATACAATCATCAGGCGCAGGGCCCTTCCATGTCTCTTGATGATTTTCGCTGGTGGCACAGAAAGAAAAATATGAAAGAAATTAATAAAAGCAACGTGAAAATTTTAAAATTAACATATATTAAGAGAATCAGAACTTTTTTATGCATCAATTAACTGTAAACTGCTGTGTTATTTTAAGCGCAACTGAAATCTAAACCATACATTTTTTGCATTTTTTATATGTATTATATTATATGCATATTTATATGTTAATATAATTTATAAAAAGCTATTCGACCATAAAGAATATTAAATTTTGCACACTGCAAAAATAAAAAATTTATAGCATTTATGCCGGCCTTGAGCTTTTTAAAATTTGTGTCAAATCTCTAATCCTCAATAATAATTATAAAAATAAACAATCTATAAAACTTAATGTAGAATAAATGATGACTCGTTTTTACTACCTAAAAGATAGTAAGACATGACATTGCTAAAATCTTCGCTGTGCTGACGTTAACTCAACCTAGGCGCACAATTGCAAAAAAAAAAAAAATCATAAAAATAACATTAGAAGTGTAGAGATTGAGCTTTTTCATTGCTGTAAGAATTTTTTGTGTTAAAAACGGCTTTTCCAGTTTTGGTCACGGTTAGCGACCCTATTTCATGAGCAATAAAAAAATCAACAGGATTAAAAAAAACACACATTTAAAAAAAAACTGAAAAACATTTTTTTTTTAATGTTTTATTTTTTTTTTAATTCTGCTGATACTTGTATTTTTCTGGCCAAAACTAGTAGAGCCGATTTGTTTGTGAGGGAAAACAATTTTTACGGGGTAAAAGCCCGAGTTATTCACTTCTCCTCAAGTGACAATTTCTTCAAACAAAAATAACGTTGCCTGGACATAGTCGAAAAAATATTTAAAAAAAAAATATATACTGCATTTCAGGCCGCGGCATGGAGCTTTTTTTGACTGTGAATGTTTATTTCTTTTCAATATTTTTTATATGCTTTTTCACAAAATACATAGCGTATGGAATTTTCCATATTTTTGTATAATATTTATTTTTAAATTACAATTTAAATAGCCGCATAAACTCACTGAGTACATACATTATTTTTTTGCAACCCTATGATAAAAATTTGAATATTATTTTCAGCAATGAACAAAGAAATGAATTTGCTAATTGGGAACAAATTTTATTTTCTTTCTCGCTTTTACATAAATGAGCAATGCCGTCCTTTTTTTTGCTCTAACTATGCAAACGTGAATTGGCTCGTGTCAGTCAAGCTGGTCATGGCGATTGTTTCAACCGTGGCTGGCAATTCTGGCAAAAAAATATTTTTTATGTAATTTTAGCATTTAACTTTCAATTCATAATAAATAATTTCGTGACGCTTACTGATATCATAATAATCTGCCACATCTCCAGCATCCTTCCGTGCCGAGTCCAAAGCATTCCTCAGCGCGAAAAAGCACACGATCGACATATTCAAGGCCGGTTCACCAGTGGCTGAAATAAAAGATGAAACATGAAACTTTAAATTTCAATGTCCTCTTAAAGCTTTTTTATTTTGATTTATATATATACAATTTAATTTGATGAAAAGATTAATTTACCCTTTGAGTTCAGCAACCCCAGAGGGTTGGATGCGTTCTTCCTGAAATTGATCCTAAAATCGGCCGGAATGTCTTTAGCTCCTGGCACTTTATAGTTCTGGAAGAATTATAATAAGAAAATTTAATTTAAAGAGTTTAAAATAAATAAGAAAAATAAGTTTAGAGGAAAATGTGCAAAGTCAAAATTGGTGTCGCTCACCCAGGTTCTTGTGTTCAGCAAACGCCCCGAACCAGAGTCGTACTTGAGCTCCTCCGTGAGCCAGTAGCCCATTCCCATGACAAAGGCGCCTTCGATTTGGCCCACGTCAATCAAAGGGCTCAAACTCTGTCCGACATCCTCGACCAGGTCAACACGCAATACCTGGCGTTCGCCAGTAAGGATGTCCACTTCCACCTCGGCAATTGCTGTGCCCCAGATGTTATACGGAGAAATTTCCTGGCCTGGTGCGAACCTTAAACGCAAAAATCAAATTAAAATAATGATAAAAAATTTAATTTCAACATTGGAAAATAAAATTTTATATTTTATTTTCTTCAATTAATATTTTTAACTTAAAAAAACGTACATGAAAGTAGCCATCATGTCCACATTCTGGACGTAGGCCTGTTGCACAAGCGCTTCCCAAGTGGGGTTGCCCATGCTCTGCCTGATCGGCTCCAGACGTGCCAGCAAAATTTGACAGCTTTTCATTGCAGCCTGCATTTAAATGCACACATGAGGTTTAATTTTAAATAATAACATGCAAAGTTAGCCATACATAGGACACGGCTTCACTGCCAATGCTCCCTCCAGTCACCATGCTGTTAGCCGAGGTCAGGGATTCGCTCGGCTTGATAGAAATTTTGTTCAGGGGCAAACCTAGAATGTGGGCTGCGACTTGAGCCACCTATAATTTTATAATTTTTTTTATTAAATATATTAAATAAAAAGGTTTTCTATATTTATATACTTTTGTGTTCATGCCCTGACCCATTTCAATTCCTCCGTGGGCAATGGACACGGAACCGTCTCCGTGGTGAATTGAAACAATTGCACTGTAATTGCCACCAACAGGAAAGCGATATTGTGTGGGCACAATGGCCATTCCTCTCTTCTTCCACCGATTTGCCTTGGAAAAAAAATTAAAATTAAAAAAAAAAACATTAAATGTGAAAATGATTTTGTATTGTGTGCTTACTGCATTGAAAGCATTGACATTAGCCTTCCTGTTGTCATAGTCGGCCGACAGTTTGAGGTCGTTGATCATGTTGAACAGGGGGTTGTCCAGCTGGACCATGTTGTTGAGCCGCACTTGCAGCGGATCCAACTTGGTCACGCGCGCAATGTGCTCCATGATTTCCTCGATGAACGCGACTCCCTCCGTCGTTCCTGGTCCTCTGCAGGGCGTGTTGGAGGCCTTGTCGGTTTTCACCAGCTGGACGTTCATGTTGAATGCGTCTGCCTGGTAGCAGTTGGGGTAGAAAGCTTGCAATTCGAGCAGAGGCGCCTCGTTGAATGAAAATCCGTTGTCTTGCAAGCACGTTGAATTGAGATACTCAATTTTGCCGTTCACGTCAACTCCAACCTGTATTTAAATGGAAAATTTCACAAATTTAAGTTTCTCAAAGACGAAAATTGAGTGTCAAGTTTGCTTAGCCAAGTTAAAAAAAAAAGATATTGAATTATTCTTCTATAATACAAATGTATAAGAAGGGAATAAAGGAGCTTCTGCTAAAATGGCCCAAGATAATTTTTCTATGCAGCCCCACTTAAATTGATAAAAAAATTTACCATTTTGAGTTACAGTAATTAATGTCACAGGCAAAATTTTCTCAGTACACAACAGAAAAGATACCATATATTAAGGCTCATCATTATTAACAAGATATAATTTATTATTTAAATTGAAATAAAAATATTTAAACTAATTTCGTATGTATATAAAAAATAATTACGTCATAATTGTGGATATATGGGAATCTTTTTCCCATGGCCTCCATGTTAGTCCTCAAACTCATCACAATTCGCACTGGTTTCCCCAATTTGTCAGCAGCCAAGGCGCACGCTGCGGCAACTTGAGCCGGACGTGAAATTTTTCCACCGTAGCCTCCACCCAGTCTTCTCACAGTAACGTTGACACTGCGCAAATATTTTGTATGAATTTAAAAGGAAATTTGTCTTGTACACAAATTATTTTACGTGCTCTGCGTGATTCCGAGGACTTCGGAAATGACTTGCTGGATGTGGTCGATCCACTGCGAGGCCGAGAAAACTTGAAGGCCGTCCTCGGTGGGCACTGCGATGCACGTGTGCGTTTCCATGTGCATGTGGTACTGGCTGGCAATTTCAAAACTGCCTGTAATCGTGTAAGCCGCTTTCGCTGCAGAAATTGAAACTTCTTAAAATTTGCTACGTGAAAAATTTTTATGTATACGTTGTTCTGCTTTCTTCTGTGTTTCTTTTTTGGCGACGAACGTCCGATCTGCAGAGCTTTTCATGACCTCTCGAACGCTAAGAATGGGTTTTTCTGTTTTAGCATAGGAAACCTGCACCAATCCAGCGCCCAGGGTTGCAGCCATTCTGCTAGTGGCAACCACCAGTCCTACAACTTGCCCGGCGTATTTTATTGGGCCACTGCAAAACACCTACGAAAATCCACGTAGTTAATTTTAATATAATTAAATTATTATGAGGCAAGGGCGGCAAGGCACATAGTATTTAGTTGCAAATAATTTCAAGTTTAAAAATAGGCCGGGAAGCTAAAGCAAATATTTAAAATTTTGATTAATATTAAAATTTTATAAATCTGTATGTCCTATTTTCTTCGTTCACAGTTAATAATATTAATATTTCTAAAAATAATTTAATAATAAAAAACATAAGAAAATGTTCTACAATCATAAATTTATGAAAAAGGTTGAATAAAAAATCATAATTTTTATATAATAAGATAAGACACTTTTTTTTTAAATTGTTACTCATTAAAAAAAAAAACTCTTGCCTTCCTGTTTTTAAATAAAATAAAATAGTTAAATAGATAATTACTTCTTCGTCTTCAACGAAAAGCGGCAGAGTTTGTGGTGTGAAGGAATTCTTTCCTGGAATATCTGCAGCCTTGAAAAAGGCAACGACCCCTGCCGTGGCAAGGGCGGCGGAGTCGTCAATGCTGGCGATGACACCGGTGGCCTGAGTGGTCAGTACGAAGGCGCCGTGCAACTCGCCCGGTCTTTCCGGGATGTCGTTGATGTACTCGGCCTCTCCAGCCGTCTGGGCTGCTGCTTCCAGTTTGGGGATGGGTTCGTTCAAAGGGTACACGCCAGGGTTGGTCTCAAAGTCCTGCTTGCCGGAGGACAAGGGGCGAATGAGGTTTTCGGCGCCCGATCGTTTTGAGGCACTGACCTGATTGGAAACATTTTTGGATGCAATTTTCCATTAAATCAAATAATTTAATCTGATTTTTTCTTCAAATAACAAGAAATTGCCTATTTTTTAAACCATTCCTAACTCTTTTTGGGTATCATTATTATAATTATTTAATTATATTTTTTGCAACGAAATTTTCTTGACAATGTAATCTAATGGAATTTTACCCTGTTGGGATCTAGTCCGAGCAAGAACTTGTAGAAAACACCTTGAGCCACTTGTTTTCTGTACTGGGGACTGGCGTCCAATGGCTGACTGTCAGGCACAAGTTCGGCCGCCAGGGTATTCAAAGCTCCCTGAATGGTCGCCGCGTCGAGCAAGTTTTTGCCCATCAGGTAGTTCTCAGTGTTTGTGGCGCGATTCTGCTCTCATGATTACATTAAAATTATTATTTATTTTTCACTTTTTTCCTTTTACAAATTGAGGATTGATTCCAGCGAAGACAATTCGCGGCTGTTCGTTGACATTCCAATTGATCGTGTCGGCGACCCTGATTCGGAATCCGGCACTCACGTACGCGTGTGCGTTTTGTTTTCTTGGCGTGATCTGCAAATTTTATCAGAAGATGATATGCGATTTATTAAACTGATGCCAACGAAAAAAACAATCTTTGATGACATTATTTTGATCATGTCAAGTTAATTAAAGATTAAACAGTTATCAGTTGTCATTGTTATTGACCAATCCTTTCAAACCTTCAAAACTAAATTTTTATCGCAAATTAACCAGCACCATAATTCCATTAAAAAACAGTGCAAGATCCACCAAATATGATTATTTGAAATGAAGAGATAATCTGAGAAAATGCTACATCATTTTTTGATTGATCATTACAGAACTTTATACCTTCAATGTCCTGAATCGGTGGTTCGTTGCAAATGCAGGAAACGCGATGTTCAAAACTACTTTTCCAGCCAGATTATAAGTGAGGAAGTTGGTCAGCGTCACATTTGTAGTTGTTGTTGGATTGGAAACTAAAAATTGGATCAAAATCCAGTAATTTTCAATAAAATTATTTCTTACGAATGTTCAATGTGGCGCCGGCAGCCTCCAGTATAACAAAAACGTCTGACGGGAATTCATTGTGGTCCTTTTTGAGCACCAAATTTCCAACCAGGGTTCCAATCTTGTAAAATGTAAAATTACAAAAGGGATAAAATTTACTGTTAATCTTTGTAAAATAATAAATTTTCATTGTTTATTTCATTTGGAGATAAACTTTGAATAGAGTTTTCTGTGAATCTGGATTTCCTGAAAAAAATTAGTAACTGGAACTTGCTTAAAATTAATTACATTTCTAACTGAGGTATTCGCCACAACGTCAAGGTGGTTTGCAAGTTCGGTGAGGTACGAGTAGCCGGTGGTGGCCGCCTGGGTCTTGAAGGCGGCGATGGCCTCTGTCAGGGTAACGTTGGCGCCGACGGTGAAGCCTCCGGAGGTGTTTATTGTGCGAAGATCTGGCACGTCTTTGACATCGATGCGGGCGTCGAATTGGCGATTGTAGTGGCGGTAGACGCCTTCGGCGGTGTTTCCGGCCGACAACTGGTAGACGGTTGCTCCGAGGGAGGTGATCACCGAAAACAGGTCATTCAAAGTGGTCACCTTGTACCAGTTTGCGGCGGGAATTTTCACCGACTTTGGCACAATTTCTTCAAAATTCGAGTCTTTCTTGCAGGAGCCAGAGCAAGCAAGACCGGTTTTAGAGCAAATTTTGTACATATCCTAAAACAAAATATGGAAAAATAAACCATCAAAATTTCCCATTCATAAATTTGTAATTGTGAATATAAATTTTGATTATACTTCAATATCAGCGCACTGCTTTTTCATCATTGGCGTTGCGTCCTTAGCAAGAGCCTTGAAGGCGTCCAGAATTGAGCGATAGCCAGTGCACCTGCACAAATTTCCACCAAAAGCGTTCTCCACCTCAGCCATAGTTGGTGTTTTTCCGTCAGCAACCAAACTTTAAATAAAATACTAGTATTTGCATTCAAGTCCGCAAATAATTCAGTTGAAAATATTGAATAACAACCTGCTTATATTGAAATTTATTGATTAAAATTTACAAATTTAAATTTAAATTACTTTAACAGAGTTTTATTATTAAAAATCATGCGTGATCTCTCACCTGTACATATTCATGACCATTCCGGGTGAGCAGAATCCACATTGAGTTCCATTGAATTGGGCCAAATTCGCTTGAACAGGGTGGTAGCCGTCCCGTTTGTTGCCAATTCCCTCCACCGTCCGAATATCCCATCCGTGACACGCAAAAACCGGCACCAAACACTATAGAAAATTAATACAATTTTCTGTAAAGCTCTCAATTTTTTAATATAACATTTTACCGAATTAACGGAGAGAGTTTGTTTTTGCTTGGTGACGGGGTGCTCGATGGTCGCGGCGACCACGCAAGCTCCGCACCCTCCTTCGGTGCACATGAACTTGGTTCCTTTGAGTTTGGCCACATCGCGAATATACGAGTTCAACGACGTACCCTCAACCACCTCATTTCCAACTAATTTATATTTAAAAACATGAGCATAAAAAAATTATCGCAATTTACTGGAGTTGAAAAAAGTAGCTGTTTTGTACAAAGAAAGAATGTAATAAAATTCAAAATTTATACCTGTGACCTGCTTTCCATTGAGGGTGAATGTCACCTCCAAAGCAGTTGGAGATGGTTCCTCTGAACTAAATTTGCAAAAATAAATTAGCTGAATCATAAGCACTGCATTTTTTGTTTTTCAGAAATGCTTGCTAGATACAAGCAAACCTAGAATTAGTTGAATTTCTTAAATTACCTTCCAAAAATCGCGTTCCACATGATCCAAGTGCCTTATCAAATCTTTGATGAAGACAGTGGGCAATGTGATGAACTGGCCTTATATATAAGGTGATTCTTATCGCCTTATCAAAATAATTGTAAAATCTTGGATGAAAATTAACATTTAAACTAATTTAGTGAAAACAGGTCTCTTTCTTTACTTTTCTTCTCAAATTTTAATTTTTTTATTTGATTTTACCTCAATGTTAACTTTTTTATTCACGTACCTTAGGATATACTAAAATAGGGGTAAAATTCTGCTATAATTACTATATTATACGACTCTATATATATTTTATTGCGCACTGATAATATACGCCTGAATAGGAGGCCTATCCGATAATCATTTTAAAGTATTCTTTCACAATTAAAAGAACAAAATTTTTAAAAAATGGATGGAAGATAAAAATAAAATACGGTGCGATCATCAATGCATATTCTATGCAGGTATTAATCGAAAATATAGCATTTGAATGTTGTGGACTAATGTGCAACAATTGGATTATATTTTCGCGCTGCGGTTTCCATGTTAAATAAATATGCATATAATTTCTCCAGTCAAATTATATTTAAAAAAAAGGTTTGCGTAAAAAATTAGCCTGTTTTATAAAGGGGAACGTTATAGGAAAGGAAAAACTGCTCATTCTAGTTTCAAATACTTAAAATAATTTAAGATGATAAAGCGTTTATTTATTTTCTTTGGTGATTTTGAGTAACACATCTGTGATATGATATTTAATTAATAAATGGCAATTAATTAATTTAATCTTTTGTAAGATATTTTTTAAATGTAGAATATTTTGATTCACTTATAATACGTCCTTAATTGTCTCTAACAATATAAGTAAGAAAATATGGCACTACACGGAAGCACTAGTCTTGCGTAGAGCTGCAGGCGCAGCCTCCTGAGTCTCCGGAGGGCGAACTGCTATCTGACGTAGGCGTGCAATTGTTATCCGCGTAAATGCTGACTGTACACGTGTCGATAGACGGAGTGTCCAAGACAGAGCTGCGGAAGTTGAAACCGTTGCTTACGTCAAAAAGCGAGTCATAAGGTGGTGGACTGTCCATGGACATGTTGCCGCCGGTAGTCTTTTCATGCCTTCTGCGTGATCTGTTTTGAGTCTGAAACATCCAAAATATAGGTGATCTTCAATAAATCTTAAATTTCTAAATGAGAAATCGATAAAATATTTTATGAATCACCTAAGTTTTGAGAATTTTGATCGAAAAATCTTACTTTATCATAATTATCTGAATTTAATTTATATTGGTTTTTTTTTTAATTTAGAATCAATATTCTTTTTTTTTAGCTGGTGCGAATTAAAATAAATTTTATCAATAATATATTTAAATTTATACTAGATGAAATTTTGTAAATAACATTATGGAGATAATCAACAAATAACGGCACCTGTTGCTGTCGGAGCACATTCGGGTTTTCTCCAAGTTCGGCAATTGCTCTTTTCTTGGCTGATTGGAGACAAGAGAGGGCAACGGCAAAGAAGCAAATGATGCATGCGGCCACAACCACCAAAATTATGATCACGCGGTTATTGGCACCGTCATTTTCAGGCGATATACCGTCCGCAAAAAGCACCACCGCAGCCACCATGACCATTGCAAACGCGATAATTCCAAATACAATCATCAGGCGCAGGGCCCTTCCATGTCTCTTGATGATTTTCGCTGGTGGCACAGAAAAAAAATAAGAAAGAAATCAATAAAGAAACCATGCATATTTTTTTAAGTATATTAATATGTGTTAATATAATTTATAAAAAGCTTTTCGACCATAAGAGAATATTGAATTTTGCACACTGCAAAAAAAAAAAATAAAAAATTTATAACATCTTTGCCGGCCTCGAGCTTTTTAAAATTTGTGTCAAATCTCTAATCCTCAATAATAATAATAATAATAAAACAATCTATACAACTTATGTAGAATAAATGACGACTCGTTTTTACTGCCTAAAAGATAGTGAGACATGACATTGCTAAAATCTTCGCTGTGCTGACGTTAACTCAACCTAGGCGCACAATTGCAAAAAAAAAATACAAGAAAAATCATAAAATAACATTAGAAGTGTAGAGATCGAGCTTTTTCATTGCTGTAAGAATTTTGTGTATTAAAAACGGCTTTTCCAGTTTTGGTCACGGTTAGCGACCCTATTTCATGAGCAATAAAAAAATCAACAGGATAAAAAAAACACATTTAAAAAAACTGAAAAAAATTGTTTTTTTTTTTAAATGTTTTATTTATATTTATTTTTTTAATTCTGCTGATACTTGTATTTTTCTGGCCGCAACTAGTAGAGCCGATTCGTTTGTGAGGGAAAACAATTTTTACAGGGTTAAAGCCCGAGTTATTCACTTCTCCTGAAGTGACAATTTCTTCAAACAAAAATAACGTTGCCTGGACATAGTCGAAAAAATATTAAAAAAAAATATATATATATACTGCATTTTACCTTTAGCCTTGTTGTAATCGATTGGGACTTGCATTTTGCTGAATGTAATTTTGCACAATGAAGCGATCAGGAAAGTCGGAGAGAGAAGACTGTGCTCTGGTGTTGCAGCGTGTCGCGGGATGAGGCAGTTCGTTGTAAAACTCTTATCTGGCAGGCTTAATAAAAGTGACGTCACGTGCGTAAAGCCGACGTGAATTATTGTTGCACCGAGCGGAAAATCAAACCTCCAATTGGAAAAGGAAGTGCGCCGACCACAAAATAATAAATTGACACTGCTCTTTTTCTCCAGAGGCACGTGCGCCTGCGGTGCCAGAACTGCACAAAGAAAGCAATGAGGTTCCGCCGCCGTGACCCGAGACAAATTGGAGGTCAAGTTCAGCAGTCCTCTCCAAACGGGTTATTTATTTTATGGCTACATTTTGAATTAACTCCACTGTTTAGAGAGTGAAAGTTAATTGTTTGGAATTAGGAAAAATCTAGTTCTTTGCAAAATTATTTTCAATTGAAATTTTTTAAGTCTGTCATTATTTGTGGTAAAAAAAACTGATCAAATTATCCTCTTGGAAATATATTTTTGTTTTAATTTTTAAATCAAGCAATTCAGTCAACATGAATATGACAAAAGAATTTACAAAGAAAAGTGAGCGAGGAAAAAATTTGATGAGGTCACACCTCACGTAGGAATGCTGTGACAAAAATCATACACGATACGCAATGCGACACGTCATTTTCTCGCTGATAAGCACCTTAGAGGAAACAGGTGGATCCCACTATTGTGCGAACTACGCGCTAGGTTTTTTCTCACTTTTGCAATTATTATTGGAATTTATTTAAGCGGTTCGTTTTAATATAAGATCTAATTATCAAAATTAATTTAAAAATCCAGGTGCCGTTGCTGAAGTTAATTAAAAAAAAAATACAATAAAAATTTCATGGCACATTTGTGGTTGCATAAAAATATTAAAATTTATTAAGTAAAGTTATTTCATTTGAAATCTTAAATTTTTATTCCTTGATGAATATTAAATTGTTTAAAAAACAAATTAATATATTTCAGTCAGAATTAAAATATTTTTACATTTAAAATTGTTCACGTTCTTGATTCCTGACTTATAGCAATTAAATGTTAAGATAATACAGGGTGATATAAATGACTAATTAGAACTTGTACGTTATCACAGTGTGTGGAAGGGGTCGACCGTCGGTCACATTGGTTGGGCGTCCAGCGAAAGCGAGCTGCTCGAGCCTGTTTGCGGTGGAACAACCCACCCTGCCGAGGGTGGCTTACTGCCAGGTTGCTCATTCGACACCACTTGGGAGTAACTCGGCGGGGCATCTTGAACGGCGCTCGGGAACTGCAAAATTATTCAAATCTTGCGTGTACTTTGTTTATTTAGTTTTAGTGTTAGGAGCAAAGAAATAAATAAACAGCTCCGGAAAAGTTTTATTGAAAAAATTGAAAAAAAAAATCATTTTATTTTCTTTTTCTACTCTAAACATTAGAAATTATTATTATTGGTAAAGAGAAAAAAGTACTTTTATGTCAGGGTAAATAATAACATGATCTTTTTTTTATTTCATTTTTAAATTTGCTTACCGAAGCGACGTTTCTGTTGCTTTGCATGAGCTGTTGGATAGCTGAGGGTGGAAGGACGTAGACTGTTTGTGATTGTCCAGCACTAGCTTGCTGGTAAGGACCAGCTCCTTGTTGAGCGTTTGCCATAATCTGCGTGTAGTTGACTGCATTTGCTGCAATTTGGCGCATGCATTTACGACGATAGTGCTGAAATATAAAAAAAAAATCAAATGAAAAAAGCAAGATACAATCTAAGGAAAATAAATAAATCTTTATAAATTATGCAAAATTCATACAAATTAAAGAATTCAAAACCTGAGTAACTCCCAGTTAAACCATTAAAATTTGAGTATTTTTTTTTTAAATTTGAGTAAAAATTTGTAAATTTATTCAAAAGTTTTTGTTCTGAAATCTTCTGGAGGTTATTTTTCATGTTGAATGCATTAATATGAGCTTTTATTTGTTTTACTGTTATTTAGTTATAAGCTTTAATTAAATTTGAACTATAGAGTCTAAATTTAAATCTCATTGTTACACAATTATACATTAAGTATCTGTTACAGGAAATTAGTATTAAATGTTAAATGACGCTTTCATGAGAGAAGCGCAAATTGTTGCTCATCCTTTTTAGTAATTTTTAAATAAATCTGACTGCGCAAATATGTTCCCTTATGCATTTTATATTTATGCGCCAAGATTAATTTATGATCAGATAATCAGACGGTCTTGCTCACCAATATCGCAAGTCCGCAGCCAATCTGGATGAACAGACACACCATGAGTGGCGCGTACAAAATGTAAGAATAATCTGCATTACTATTTGAGCTGATACTGAAGTAGACCGCCGGAATAACGATGACGTAAAGCAGGAAGCAAACACCTGAGATCATATTTAGCGTTCGGCGTACTTTGAAGTACTGAAGAAAAACTGCAATCACAATTATTAAACGAAAAATTCATTTCTCGGCTGAAATTTTCACTCACTTTGGCTCTCGTCGGCCATTTTCGCGATGATTCCGATGCGATTGTTGAATTATCTCAGGTCGGTGATGGAAGCAAACTGATTTACGAGCGAGTCGCCGCACGCAGCATTAGAGTGGGTCGCCCATCCAAATCAATGCTCGCAAAGATAAGAAAGCTTGACGCTGATATGAATATTTGATAAACTGTCCCGATACTCACCTTGCACACGTCATTCTGCTCCAAGTTGCTTTTCTAAATCTCTAGAAATATATTGGATAGGCAACTATAATGTTTTAAGCTCATTTGAACTCTTTCGGATTTTGATATCTTAAAAAACTATATTCTTTGTTTTTGTTCATGAAACGTGAAAGAGAAAATTAAACGCATGATGCATGATCATCAATGTTATCCGAAGAAAATGAGTAATATATTCAGGCCAAGATAAACAGACAACGAAATTTAAATTAAACAAAAACATCAATAAAAATTCCTAAATATGCAATGTAAATAATTTTATTATTATTATCATGATAAGTTAATAATTAAAAAAAGTTAAATGTAATGAACTATGTATCCATCGTTAAACTAAAAGTGAAAATCGGAAATCTTTTAAATTTGTTTTAAGATTGATGAGTGCTGAGGCTTGATTTTCTTGTTATATATTATATTTTCTGCTTGAGACGTAATAAGCATGTATTTTTAGTTATATATTTATGAGCATTTCTGTTCTTTTTTTATCACAATCCCTTTTAAATTAGTGAATTTTTTTATAATCTGTATTTAAAATTGTGTGTTTTTAGAGCAGAAGATGGGAAACAAAATAACAGATAATATAAACCGCACGTGCCAATTTGCTTATTGAATTGACCAAGGTTTTGCCCTGATTCTACTGTCATTAGAGGAATTCAAAACATCCTTAGAAATAAAAACACGGAGCCCTGCTGATACCCTTTGATTTTCGATACGCTGTCCTCAGTATGAAGTGCTTGTACACCTCTTTCGCCATTTTCTCAATACTTATTTTTTTAGTAATTTGTTTTCTATCAAATAATTAAATACTGATCAAAGCAAGTCATTTAGAATGGGGTTGAGCTGAGGAGGTCCAGAAAACACAAGAATGGCGCTACTTCTACGACGAAACGTGTGCTTACTGAGAAATTTCAACCGCCACTGACACAGGCTAATATGAGCAGCAGCGAGGAGGAGATTGAAAGGGTTGCTTCAGAGCAGGAACCGTTGGATTTTATTTCCCTTGGTGCTGCCGCAAACAAGGTGCACATAGCTCCTGATGTATTAGAACAAATGATGGAAAATTTGAAACCCACTATTGACCAAGTACCGGATAATTCCGGAATTCCACAACCAGGTAAAGTCTTCTTATGCAAATATTATGGAAATTGTAAGAATGGATTATAAAACACATCTTTCTCTACTTTGATTAATTATTATTGATTATTATTTGTTTTCCGTGGTTTTCTAAGCGATTGCAGGCCTCGTAAGTCCGGTTCGCGCTTACATCGTTGGGGGTGAGGAGACGCTGATTAAAAATTTCCCTTGGCAAGCTGGTATTATCGTGGACAGACGCAACTTCTGTGGCGGATCTTTGATCACCGCCATTCACATTTTGACAGCAGCACACTGTGCAGACAAGTACAAATTTTTTTTATATACCCATTAAAAATAAATTACTTTTTTAGTGTTGCTAGAAACAGCTTTTGGAGAATTTGTATTCAAGAAAAAAAAAATAAAGACTAGAAATTAATAATATTATTCAATTTATCTGTTAACTATTTATTTTTTAACTGTTTAATTTTGTTAAATTCTATTTTGGATTTTTCTTAATAATAAATTCTAGTTACCATTCGTTTTCCGTATATCTGGGAGGAACTTTGCTTCCTCCAGCAAAAGAATCGGGACGAACCATAATTTCCACATCTGAAAAAATCATCCACGCCGACTGGAGCCCGATAGATATGCAAAACGACATTGCGCTTCTGGTTTTACCTAATCCGCTTACCAAAGAACAAATGAACACTCGTGAGACTTTTACTTAAATTAATAAACAAAAAATACGAGTGACTAATTTGTTTTAGCAAACATTTCACCTATAAGGTTGCCAGCCATCAACATGGCAGAAATGACCTTTGAAAATCAATTGAGCAACATCTCTGGATGGGGTCTAAACGCAACAGGTTTCCTGTCCGACTTTTCTGTACATAAAAAGCGATTTAAGCAAATTCGTTTTCAATTATGAAAGTAGAAATAATTCAATGATCTTGTTAGGTCATGGTAAATTAAAAAAAAATATAGCTATCAATTCAAATATTTATATATTATTGCTAATTATCTCATAAAAAATTGGTTCAGTTGGTATTTATTTCAAAATGCAAGCTTAAAAAATATCTAGTATAAGTTATGAAATGATTAATTTGATTTTAAAATTTTATTATCCATCTTATCAGGAGGCGCTTTGACTAAAGTTCTTAACTTTATAAACATCACCGTGGTTCCACTGTCCAGATGCGTTGAGGCATACGGTGACTTTTTGCAGTCATCCATAATATGCTGCGAAGCGCCTGCAGGCAAAGCAACCTGCCAGGTTGGGTTTCATTATTTAATATAAAAAAGTGATTTTTTTTTTTGTTATCTAAAGGGTGATAGCGGCGGGCCCCTGGTGATTCGCGAGGCGGACAAAAAGTACACGCAGATAGGAATCGTGTCTTTTGGGCCCTTGACTTGCGGCACAGGACCACTGGGTTTTACCAGAGTGACGAGTTACCTGGGTTGGATTTCAAAAATGGCAGGGATTGCTCTGAGGAAGACGCAGGTGGAATCTCAGAGTCTCCTCAAGTCGGCTTTGGGAGGCTCTAACCAGACCTTAATTTCATTGAAAATCAAATAATAATGATCGCAAGTCAACATTTTGAAGACAAATGAAATCTACGTTTAGAATTTAATTTGCATATTAAAGTTGAATATCTGAAAGAAATTATTATTGTTTCTTTTAAAAGTATGGTGAAAATTTTGCAAAATTGCAAAAATAAATAATTTTTAATTTATTTTCCGATGTTTTGCGAGAAATTTTTGGGAAAATAATATTTTGCTGGAAATCGCAGTGTGATAATTTTGATTATTAATCATTATTTTAAGGAACGTATATCCTATTAAATAAATTTTAGTATTCCAAAAAACTTTTATTTTCGTAATTTGAACGTTTTTATTGATAAAGAAAAGCACCAAACAAAGTTCTTTCGGCAGGTGGGCCACATTGAATAATACCAGTACCTTACAATACACTTGGCAGTGCGGTATTGTACACATTTTCTCATTAATGTTAATTATTTTTTTCATTTTATAAATATAATTTTATTATTACACAAGCAGAACAAAAAAAAAATCATAAAATCCAACAACAAAATTATACAGCACATGTCATCTGCAATGGCAGCAGTCAACACTTTTTAATATTTATTTGCGACAGATACATTCTATGTGCACAGCGGTAAAAGGGAAATGCATCAGATTTGAACTCTGATCAGATGTAGTATAAACTAATGCAACACAAGCTGACTCATTTCAGGAAAAAATGGTCCATTTCTCATTTTGATTCTGCCTGCAACGCGCTTTTCTCTGTTGGTCCTGAGCTAAAATATGAGAGATAAACCTGAGAAGTGTAAAGTCTGCTGACATTTTCTAATAAATCTTGAATCAATTTGAATCAAATTCCAAACGTGCTCTCTGACTGTCAGTCTTCCTTGTCTTATTATTATTTTTTCAATCTGTTAAATTATTTACCACCAACACTGGGATTGGAACTTGGAAGATTGATATGTAGTTACTTATGAATTAGAAGAAAATTAATTTGGATTACTGATTGCGACGTAAATGAGAGTATGTACCTTATTTTTCGAATATTTTGCAAAAACCTTTGTGCGTGACAGTCTTTATATTGACGACAATGGATAAAGTGGATTTTTATCTATAAGCTAACCTTTCAAGCTACAAAAACTTCAACAATTCTATTACAAACTGCCATTGTTTTTTCAGGGAGGCAAAAAAACTCGTAAAATGCTAACAATAAGTGAAAAAAAATTTAAAAATCAACTATAAAGAAATATGGTTTTGACACTTTCATGGCAAAAATGGTTTAATAATCTCTTGTACATGCACAAACTATGATTAGAAATAATAATACTTTGACATTTCAAATGTGAGCTGCGATTAATTTGTCGCGTTGAAAACATAAGTAAAAAAAATGATTTTGCTCTTTTGTGCACGAAATTTCATGCTGTTGAGTCCTTTTGAGGTCCTTTAGGTTGGCTCAGCTATCTACTCAGACTCTGCAAGACTGTTCCTTCTCTTTTGTCTGCAACAAATGTTAAAAAAAAATTAGTTTTAAAGGATTTGAAGTGATTTAAAGTTAACATAAGCGGTGGATTCCAGCATAAAATTAAAAACTGGGCTTCACCTTAATGCAAAAAAAAATTTAAAAAAAAAAATCGTGTGATACCTTAAAGTGACATGCTCTTTGCATCTTAATTGAAGACTCGGTTTAGTTTACCTGATTTATTATTATTGATTTTTTCGTATTTCAACGAAGTTAACCGAGTTTAAAAAAAATGTATAAAGTTTATATTTTAAAATTTATTATTTTAACTGTTAAATTTATAGCGAAATTTAGGACAAAATAATTCATCAATGGTTTCCAATCCCCAAACTATAATATATAAGATGGAAAAAAAATTCATTTTAAAAATATAATTTTTTACCTCTGGGCCTCAGCTCTGTTGGAAGCGAGCCTCTTCTCTTCCCTGAGAATCTCTTGGCCAGGTCAGTCTCAAAGGAATCGCCGCCGCCTGAAAACCTTCGACCTACGTGCTTCGTCCAGCTGACGGCGTCACCAGTCGCTGTCAAATTTTTCAATATCCGTTTAAACAAAAATTCAAACATGTTGTAAACGTCAATAAAAATTGGGTTCGAGGATTCAAAAGACAGTAAAAGCCCAGGTGTTTTGCTTTTGGAATATAACGCCAATGTATATTCAACAATAAGAATCATCGTTAGTACAGCTCCATATACACATAGTAAAAGGGACTTGCGAACAAATGCTTTTTTCGGCAACCAACAGCTCCTTGCACGCACCAAAACACAGCGAATTCAATGATTCCACATTAAGAATGTGGCATTTTCAGAGAAAAAAAAGACTCGGGTGTAGCAGATAATTTTGAGGGCAACTGGCGGAAACGAAAATCCGCACACACAACACGCAAAACGTTTACACCAAAAATCACTTCTTTTGACCGCGGCTTCCTACCGAAGTGCCGGGCACTTTTTTAATCTTATACTTATTATTTACATATTCACACAGCGCATGATTCAATTTTATTTATGTTATTTAATTTTTCTTAAATTTTTTTTATTATTATTAGAGACTTTCACTCTAGATGACACAATATAACAGAGCTGCTGTCTAGATTTTTTCCTTCTCAAAACTAACAACGGGACTTAAAATTTACCAACTGGGTCAGTATCACTGATTTTGGTTTCAAATATGCATCTTTTCCACTTTTATTGAATTTCCTAATTGAATTATCATATTTAAAAATCGCGGGAAGTCGAGTGAAGTGGTGAAAATGGACCAAGAATTTTCCCAGCGCAGTGGTCATGACGCGAGAGAATGGCGAAGCTGATTAATTTAATTAATTTCTTTTCTCTGCGTATTTATGTATAAATCGTCTTTGTGTGTTTGTGGTCGAGAGAGAGAGAGTGATAAAGAGAGATTTGATCGCTATCTTAATATCTTAAAGACGTACCCGCATGCTCGTCGTGTACATTCAAGTTTTAAAACTCCCAGTCAGGGTTCTGGAAAAGTCCCCGTGTGGAAAAGCGTACGTGTCAAGTGGAATAGTTTCAATTGTTGGAAATTTTTGGCTGTGAAATTATTGCAAAATTGCTTTGGCACCCCACTGTGCATTTAATGTTGATGACAAATTGAAATCTTCAAATACATCCATTAGCTATTGTTCCAAGTAATACCCCACCCACAATTTTACAACCTTTTTTTAGTTATCCACGCTCAAATGAACTACATAGTATGGTCCCGGATGTTTGAAAGTGAGGATCCCTATTTTTTTTCTAACATTTCTCAAGAAGTGTGCGTTGGGTTTCCGAAACGGTGAGGATAAATTTTGTGCTTTACATACCTTGAGGTAGGGCGGAAATGAGCGAAGGGTCGGGTGTGGCGGGGTCATAAGGCAGAGAAGCTCTCCGGGGCATGCAGGACGGGACGCGCAACATCAGACCTGCCACAAGCAATCGATTGCACTGGACGCACACAAAAGGCGCAAGCAAGTTCAAAAATAAAACGAAGCAAAAAGGAGAAAAAAATCAGTCAAGCTGGAGGACTGAAGCGGCGCTATAAAAAGTCACTAATATCAGGAGGGTTTTAAAATTTAGTTTGTGCAAAATTAAGTGCATCTTGTAAAAATTCAGTATGTTTTGTTTTTTTTATGGAGGAATTTTTGCAAATAAAAATCCAAAACGAGTAAAATAAAAATTGGAAAACACAACATGCACTTGTATAAATCGGTCGAGAATGAGAGTGAATGGAGAAGAAGAAGAAGCGAGAGAGAAGTTTATGTGTTCATTTTTTTCTCAGCGGGTCCACAATTCCTGCTTTCTAAGGAAGGGTACAGCAAGTTAAATTCCACTGAACCATCCAATTACAGACAAGTTACTGCACAGGGGACCGTCGATGGGTTTTATTTTGTTTATGTCTGACAAAACATCACTGTCTATTATTGAAATTATGCCCATATACACCAGTTCATTTGTTTACTTTTGCCACATAATTTTTTTGCTCCATCGGTACAGCACAAGACATGCAATGCACCCAATCATATTCAAGGAGTACAAATACACTGTCTATATATAATACCAATAGTTATTTTATTCCCTGTATGCTGGGTATACAGTCATGAATAGTATTTTTTGTTTTTCTCATTTTGGTCTTGGGCGACGACAGGGCGCTTGTGGATTTTCTAATGTCATGTTTTTGTGGGTTGAGAGATGAATTAATTGGATGATAATTGCCAAGCGCTCTGTTTTCTTTTGTTTTTTCTTTCTTTCTTATAATATATTTTCTTTTTTTTATTGTTTTTTAGTTTTTAGCGAAATAAAATGCAAGAACGGAGGTGTCCCTTTTGCCGGCCAGCGGCTTGAAAGGTCACAAAAATGGGTGGATATTTATCATAATATTATTATGTAACAAGTAATCCGAGTGCACAATCAATTAATCAAGTCTAAACGTTAATTGTATGTGTGTGTGTATGTGTATGTGTGTCCCACAATAAAAATTATAATGCTTGTATATGTGTATTAATATATTTTTTTTAACTTTTAATTATGCGTTGGCCGCGTGGTTGGCGCCTTTTTGCGCGTCCAACCGCGTCTGGCCAACCATTGTAAGCGTTCAGTAATTTTGATTTTCTATTTCTTTGAATCCAGAGCAATGTGTTCCAGTCTTGTGAGTGTTTGAGAGCTCTAACCGACAACTACGATCAACTTCTTTTTTATTTTTAATAATTTTCCTTTTCCCATGACGTGTGATATTTTCATTCGTATATAATCTGATCGCTTTGCTTTGCTTGCCTCTCTTCTTCCTCCTACACTCTAAACTCAGGGGGCAACTGCTCCGTCCTCAGTTTGACTAACAAAAGTTTGAATCGAGATGAGCACCGCCTACTTTGTCGAGAGCCATCACAGGGTACGGAGCCGCGCCGACTGAGTCGGTACTCGAGCGGCGGCGACGACCCTTTCAGCGAGTCCACGTCCATCTTGCACAAGCTTACTGGCGCCGACCCGCGACGACACTGCAGACGGGAGCTCCCCTGAAAATTCAAAGCATGAGCTACTTTTGAATCTCGGTTTATGAAAATACAAAAATGTTAATGAAATTTAATACATCAATGTTTAAAAAAACATTTCCATTTTCAAAGTATTCAATTTAGAAATGGGAATTTACAACCTTTTAAATCTTTTTTTTTAAGCGAGCCAAATTTTAAATACACTTAAAAGAAGCAAAATAATGGATTTATTTTATGTTTTGAAATCATCAAAAATATTTTGGATTTGATGAAAAAAGATCAACAGCTTAAAAAAAAAAACGCTATTTTTTTTTTAAAATATATTCACCTAATTCAAATTTAAATTTGCCACGTTATTCAGGTGAAATAAAATCTACATTTTAGGAAGCATAATTTGATTATCTCTTACACGCCTGACAGAAGTTTGAATAATTATGATTTGGCAAAAGAGGTGCAGAAGAACCAAATTGATAAATTATTTATAGCTCTATTTACAATTTTTGCCTTTCTATGTCACAGCCAAAAGTATGTCTCAGTTCTGAATTAAGAATATAAAACGTTAATATTTCCAACCTGGATGGACTTCCTGGGTTTGTCTGAGGGCGCCCTGTTCTCCTTGCCCTCGAGCTTGGCAATCTTGGTGCGCTCGGCGCGCTCGCGTTCCGGTTCGGCCGGCGGCTCCCTCTTGGCGGGCACCAGTTCACGCGACTCAGAGTGGCAAGAAGAGATGCTGGAGGTGACGGACGAGTCGGACGCCTCGCGCAGCACTTCGGCGCCGGCCGTGCTGTGGCGGTAGCGGGTGGCGGGGTGGCAGCTGGGGTGCAGGGGTGGGAAGGTCTGCTGGCGCGTCAGGTGCCGGCCCGACGGGTGCAGCACCGAACTCAACTTGACGGCCGCCGAGCTCGTGGTGATGGAGGCGATGCTTGGTTCGGGCAGCAAGTTTTCGGCACTCACCGGCCGCTGCTCCTCGGCTGGCGCCGGCGGACCCAAACTCCGGACTGACCCACTGTTTGATAAGCGAGTGCCTGAAATAAATTTATTTAGTAATTCAATTCGCATGAATTATTGATTTAATGTATTTTCTGTTTTTTTTTTTTCGATTATAAATATTATTCTGATGCATGATTTTGATTTCATTTTAGCAATGTTATATGTGAGAATGAATTTAATGAAAATATATAAATAAAACTATGCGTACGTTTAAAATAAAAAATTTAAAAAAAAAATAAGAAATAAATTATTAACATTATTTAAATTTTTTTTAAATGAAACTTTTTAATTTTTAGTATTTTAAATTTATAACTCATTTAAAACAATACAAGTTATTTTATTTTCTTATATCAAATAAAATCTTTTAAATTTCATAATTGCTACAAGCTAAGATATTTGGAGCTGTAATAAATATTTTACCATTATTTAAAAAAATTAACTTATTTAGAGAGGGAAATGTATAAATAGGTGACAGTGAACTTCAATTGAAGTATAATCATATGGTTATTTAGTTGAGTATTTTTGTATTCAAAGTATTAGATATGATGTGCTTTACTATAAAATTCTTAATTCATTATATAGAATATTTAGAAAAATTAAATAGTTACTTTCAGCTTACAATTAGTAAAATTTTAGAAGACTTTTTCAATGCTTTTAAATAAAAATGAAAAAAGGATAAAAAATATAATAAACATATCCTTACCGTGTTCAGAGAAGAGTGAAAGAGTGGAGCTGCCCTCGCCGCGCTCGATGTGCAGAATGGTCTCGAGCGGGAATCTGGGACCAGTCCGGCTGTCCGGCAAACTCTCCCTGCGGATGATGGTCCTGGCGACGGCCAAGTGGGACACGCTGAGTGGCACCGAGTGTCTTCTGGCTGCAGCTGAAATCGGCTGCAGCGTTGGTGGACACTCGATCTGCACCAGATCCTGCTCGTCCTCAAGGTCGTCAGCCTCGGACACCTCAGTCTTGGTCTCCTCGGCCATCTCGGCGGTCAACAGAGTCTCCCACTTTGTCTGGTTGGTCCTGCAAGAGAAATTCACGTTTTGATCATTCAATACTTGAAAACGTTTTTCATAAATAAAACATTGTAAAATAACAGGGACATTTTTTGAGATGTTACTGATGTTTTAGTTTTTGCACAAGAAGTGTGATGGGTGCTTTATCATAAATTATTTTAATTTATTTTCTTCTCCTTTAAAACAAAATTTCAAACAACCCAATTTTTTTGTTTCTGCTAGAATATAGCTTTGCGTTAATATTTATTTTTGATGCTTTTTGTCAACTTAAATCGAGGCACACAGACCTGAGGTGGCCCATCATGTCCTTGGCCAGCGGAGAGATGAGGAAGTTCTCCCACTCATGCATCAGCGGCGCCACCACAAACTGGAAGAAGCCAGCCTGGATTTTGGGGACGGAGTTTGAGTGTCTATCACAAAGAGAGGTGACGGGCAGGCTTAGCTGGCGCTCGTAGTCACCCTGCCGGAAGAATTCCTCGCAGATCTTCTGGCTCCATTTCTTGCTGATGTCCCACGGGCGGCACGGGTTTGAAATGTCAGCACACTTGAGCGCGATTTGCAGGATGAAGTGGCGGTCCTCTTCTTTGCTCATGTCCAGCATGTCGCATTCCAAGTACCGCTGAAACGACAATAAAAACCATACAAATAAATAAATTATTGTATTCTTGATATGTTATTTTCCTATTATTATCATTTTTATGAAAGCACACGTTTTTTGCTAAAACTTGGAGGAAATGCGATGAAAAGTGAACCAACCTTGAACCTCGTTAGGAACTCCTGCTGCCTGGTAATGTCTGTGGCAAGGATAAGCGAGCTGATTTGCTGCTCCAGGGCGGTCGCATTGGCGCCCATTTGTTGTGCGACGCAGCTCTCGAGCAGGCACCCTATGGCTGAGCGCCAGTGGTGATTTTCAAGCACCGAAGTATTCTGTTCAACACACAACAATAATAATTAATCTCCCGGGGCGAGCAAATAAATCAAACCTCGTAAAGAGCGGCCAGATGGTTGGAGGTGGCGATCAAGAAAGGTTGGTTCACTCCAGGGTGGTCCAGGTCGTGCGTGACGGCGGCCAAGAGGGCAGACATAATTTCTAAGGGGGTCAGGTGGCTCCGAATCTAGAAGTATTCGTTTTTTTTTTTAATTTTTACTCGTATTAATCGACTTGGTTAATTATTATTTTTTCTACATTCCCCTTACAAATAAATTTAAAATTTAAATAAAAAAAATTCACTTTATAATTTCATCAAGTCTAGTTAAAAAAAATATTACATAATGTTTTAACTTTTTTTGTTAAAAAAAGCCAAAAAAAATTAATCCCAGCACCTATGAAAATTTAAGCACATATTATATTTGTGTTGCTTTTGATAGTTTTTATTAATCTAAATTAATAACCTTCTCTTCTTGGAGGAAGCAGTGCATTGCTTGGGTGACGTCGGTGGCGTGGATGGCATTGTGGTAAGGATTGGTCCCGTGATAACCCTCCTCGATCAGAGCTGGAAATAGACTGGCGTTATTCAAGTTCTGGTGGGGTGGCTGACACGCCAACCCCTTATTGCTTTCGCCCACAACAATATATACTGAAATATTATATATACTCACTGAAGAGTTTCCAAACGCGAACTACGTCCAGCTGGAAGTGCTCGAAGAGTCCGTACCAGTGGAACAGGTGGACGCACAGCACCGGCAGCGACCGCCCTATAACAACCGAATAAATTATCATCCAAATCGGATCATCGCCACCACCACGGCCGTTTTGTTCATTCATTCATGCGGCAATCGTGGCGGAGATGAATGACGAGGAGAAAGAGAGAGAGAGTGGCACTTACCACCGGTCACCGTGTCCAGAATGAATGCATTGAATGGCCAGTCTCCTACTTTGTTAAGCACAAACTGAAACAATTAAAGAACTTTTTTATAATTAACGATAATATTTATAATTTTGAATAATTTTAATTTTTAAAAATTTTGAGTATTTCTTTATTGTAATAAATTTAGTTTAAAATTAATAATATTATTTTTTAACTGTTTCTTTACTGTCCCATGGGATTTATAATGAATACATTATTATTTTGAGCTCTATTTTGTAATAATAATAAATTATTCCCTAGCTGATCTTTATTTGATTACAAAAAAATGTTAAACAAAAATTTTTTCAGCTTATGATCCTAGATTTCACGTACTAATTTAAATGCAACTTAATAATTAAAAATTTAAAAAGGAAAAATTAACGATTGCCAATGATTGTAGATACTCAGAAATTTACTACAAATTATTTTTAAATTAAAAAATTTAAATGTTTTGGGGCAATAAACAAACGTACCAAAAGTAAAAAAAAAATCGCAGCTTACTCAAAAGGTCTTTGGAAGCTTAACTAAGGGATTGAGCTCCTTTTTGTCCAGCAATGCAATGTTTTTCTCTCAAAAAATCTATTAACTTGATCATTTTTGATATGAAAATTGCTCAGCAACAATTGAAAACACACACAAAAAAAAATTACAAAATTTTGTTCAACCAAAAATTAAATTAATTCAGTTTTTAACACAAATTTTGCCCTTCATGTTTGGGTCACCGAGTTGAACATGTTAGAGAGCATAATGAGGTTTGGTTGAGTCGGTCTGTCTCGTCAGCAGAATGAAAAAAGGGGTGTGCGAGCGAAACTCTTACTTGTACTTGTCCGTGGTGGATGTCGTCGAGGAGGGCGGGTTGTCCGCCGCCGAGCACTGCCGAGCGCGTGTTCAATCTTCTCCGCCGCCTCTTGTGCATGGTGAGGAAGCGGCCGGTGTGCAGGGTGCGTTGCAGCCGCGTGTCCAACCCTTCCAGCAGCAGCCAGTCAGCGTCGCTCAGGCTGCGCGCCGGCGAACTTCCAGCGCTCCCGCCGCCGCAGCTGCTCGACTCTGCTGACCCTGGACTAGCTGAAACACCAACAAAGGACAAAACATTAATCGTCTTGCAATTAAATACAAAATTGAAAAAAAAAATCAATCAAGACGATAGATAAATTTTGATTTTTTAATAAAAAATATATAAATTTTTAAAATAGATTTTCTTATCTCAGAGTTGATCAAATTGCATTGTATTCACTATGAACTAAAGTTAAATGCAAATTATTATTCTATTTATGAGCAGTGATTCCCTCTTTAATAGACAATAATAATTATTTTGCCTATGTTTAATTCAAATTTTTGATTTTAGCATAGTTCAAACGTAGTTATTAAATAAAGAGTTCACTCTGCGGAACTTACATTTGTAAACGGTAAAGATGTTTGCAAATGAATTATTCATTATTTTCCTTTACTTTTTCGCTCAAGCTATTTCCAAATTAGGGGATGGAGCCGATGGAGGTTTGATTATATAACAATTTCAATTAAATTTGGAATATATACAGAACAATGCATCCCAAGAAACATCAATTAATAGTGTCATAGATAAGCTTCAAGTCATATACGTCTCAAGATTTATATTTTTATCAAAATCAATTGATACAATTATAGATGATATTGCTTAAATCTGTTAATGCAAAATGTAACAAAATATATCTTAAATGAAAAGTAATATAAATATTAAAACTAAATATTTTTAATAAATTTACCAAAACTTTTTTTTTAAACTGCAGTTATTAATTATTATTTATATGTACAAACAATTTATATTAGTATACAAAGTTACTATTTAATATAAATTCACTAGCATTACCTACTTTACCTATGAATAAGAAGAAGTGGCATTTCAAATAGTTTAATTCTTATTTCATTCCAATAAGATAAACAAATAATTCGCAATATATTTTGTAATTTAAAAATAACGTTAATTAGTTATAAGTATTACGTCTCTATCAGTCTCCTACGTTTTTTTTTTTAATATTTTTTATTAAGCACCAATTAAATTAATCAAGGCAGTGGCTTCATTACACTTTATTATTAAAAAGTGAAAAATTATAAATTCTTTGGAAAATAATAAGATAAAATAGTTATTAGCTTATAACTAGTGAGTTACATGATCATGACTTTTTAGGTAACAAAGTATCATTTAATATTAAGGAATGATTTTTTTACATTCCGGAGGCTTTCTTGTTGAACAGGATCCGAAAGTCGGATTATTTCCAAAAGTGCTGCACGCTCCAGTGCGAATCAATATTTTTATTTTCCTCGAAATCTGCACACAAGCAAGTTTTCGCCATTGTCATTTGGCGTCGGTCGGTGCGGCTGAGGCGAACAAAAGTGGGTGCAAATGAGGGAGGAAAACGGGCGAGAGGCCACCCGCCGCCGCCCCCTCGCCAGCCAGCCAGGCCGCCCGCGGCGGCTCGGGCAATGAGCAGCAGCGGCGGTGCATCACATAAAGAGCACGTTCCCTCTCACAAACAACTAACACGGTACATACGTCGGCGGCGGCAGCGGCGGCCAATTTGCAGAGGTGCTCTGCGGGTTGCATGTCTGCTCGCGATGCAGGCGCACCGCCGGCCCCTCGGGAGCTGCTGGGCGCGCACAGCACTAATAAGAGATGCTCACGGTATTGCCGCGAATCGATTTTGCTGCCGGTGTTCACGGTGAACGGAACACGTTCGCCGCCCCCGACCTTTAGCGTGATTTCCTCAGTGCATTACCCTAATTTCTGATCGACCTCCACATTCTTCCGACACACGAGCGCAATTCCAGAAAATTGAGATATACCGTTTTTAAAAACCTTTAAGTAATTTCATGCATTTCTTAATTAATTAAATTATTGTGCAATTGAAAAAACGGAAAATGTTTCGCAGAATAAAAACGCATCAAAACAAGCCAGTTGAGGGAAATTTTGAATGGAAAAAAAAACAGCTGTACCAATATGTATTATTTAAATACATATATTTCAACAAAGTCTTTAAAAAAAAAATACAAATTATTTTATTAGTATTAACAAAAAAAAAAAATTATTTTGTGTAAAAAAATCATCAGTATTCTCTTATTTGCAGTTAATTTAAAAATTTACTATATATCATATATTTTTTATAATTTTTTTTTAAATGAACTTTGTTTAATTTTGACTTATTTATATGTATACTTCATATAGACCTTTATTTAAAAAAAAATCTTTAATATAATAAAAAATAATACTACGCTCCTTTGTCATGATATGATATTAATCAATAATACCAAAAATGACTCTCCGTAGCTTATTGGGTGGTCTTAATTCTCATTTAGTTGCAAATTATGTTTCTTGATATATCACAGAGCCATTTGCTGCCCATATACAACAATCATGCATTCAAAGCTATTACATTTTATTCACATTAACTACATTAAGAGAGAAAAAATTACTTTATAATTACAATATTATAAATTTTGAGAAATTACAAAATTTGAAAATTATTAAATGTACAAAGAGCAATTAAAAAGTTTTTTTCTCAAGCTTGCATTTATTTAGTTCATGATCATGATTATAAATGTTAAAGAAAAAACATTTCATCTTTCTGTGAATAGCGTTTGCCTTTTTCATTATTTCTATGAATTCTTCCTAATGCAGAAATTTGTATCTTTTACGAAACTGATTACATGAAAATAATTTGAAGTGTTCCAGTTTCTCAGTTCTCAGCATAAAATTTTCAATTAATTTTTTTTTTTATTGTAATCCATATTAATGTTGCAAATTTTCATCACTCCTCTTTATTTTATTTTGATGAGCGAAAATAAATAAGAATTGCTTTTTTGCAAAAAAAAAATGATTGCCTCGGTGTGTGTGGTTGGAAATGGCGTTTTTGCGTGGGAGGGTGTTTGGCGGGTGCCCACCTTGTGCGGCTTCGGAAGCGAGGGTGGACCGACCGACCGACCAACGCAGTCACACCACTCACCCTCTGTTTGCACGCGGGCAGGATCTTTAGCCCATTATGCAGGGGCCGCTTAATTTTCGGCATCTTCGCGGCGCCGCCGTGTTGGCTAATTAACGCGCGCGAACAGCAATCGATACGTCCTCTCGCACTTGCCAGCGCCAAAACGGACCCGAGTGGCTTCGCCTAATTGGCCAGTTATCCATACCGTAGCTAACTATGTCGGCCCACTGGATATTTGCTTGTATTGATTGATTGCTTCATTACTTAATTCCAAAACCAGAGGAAAACACATTATTATAATTAGTATTAAATTTATTTAATCTAAATATTGACAAAAGTTATTCAGATTTATCAAAAACTTGTAGCTAACGTGCGCTAACTTTTTTATCTTTTATTTTGCCAAAATGTTATACTTCATTTAACTTCCCAATTACAATTATCTGAAGCATATTTTGCGTTTATTTGTTGATAAAAATAACTTTTTCTTTGCATGCGATGATCCAAGGTTTAAATAATTTTTTGCCAATAAATCAACCAATAAACCTGTTATATTTTTCACACAATTTAAAAGCCCCGTACAAACCACACCAACAGAAAACTAGTGCTCAATAGAAACTCTAAAATTTATATTGAAGTTCCATTCTCCTGTGCTTTAAAAACTGACATAAAGGATTTTTTACGCTCCAAATGAATGTTTCATCAAGAAAGTCTGAAGATTTAAAGAATAATGTCAATTGGCATTCAATTAATTTTTGAATTTATATGGCGTTGACACTGAAATGCTGCTGCTAGATAAACCAACTTATTGCAAATATCAAAAAATAGAATCAATATTTTTTTCAATTTTTTTTTTATAATCCTTTGACGTAGTGATGTAAATATTTATTACTTATATTAAAAAATTCTCTTCCCGAAACTTTCACCAAAAACTTAAAAATGCTGGTGCTTGGTGGAATTTTTGCGCCAAATTAAGGCTAAAATATGCGTGGAAATTAGTGACTGGCACTGGAGGGGAGCAGCAGCGAAGCCACTCGACAAGCAAGCAGCTCGAGTCTCTGTCGGCCGGATTTACTTTTGTTCAGGGGCACGCAGAAAAGCGCAAGAGTGCGCGTGCAGAGTATAATAATATCATACGAATGTTTGCTCGAGAGTTTAAGTGAGCATTTTTTTCTGCTCGTATGCAGCCGAGGGCGCGCGAATTCGGCCTGGAAAAGAGGAAAAGGCTGGAGGGATTTGCTGCCACACTCACATGCACACACACACCAAGCAACAAAACGAAATTTCTATTGATTTATGGAGCGGAGGAGCGACGACGGGGGATGAAAGTGGTGCGGTGGGTGCGCGCAGGCTGAGTCGCTGCAGCTCTGCCTCGGCTGCATCCAAACTTATACTTTTATCGGTCGCGCGAGCAGCGCCGGCTGCCGAGGTCAACGACCTCGCTCGCTCCAACTGCACCCGAAACGCTCCAGCCCGAGCGGTGCCCTATTTTCCTGGCTGCTTTAGCACCTCCCCACTAATGCATTCGGTCCACTCTCTTGCCAAGGAGGCTCGCCTTGCTTTGACGCAAACTCTCTTTTCAAAATGTTGTTCTTTCGCATATCTGCCTGTCTTCACCCAGTAAATAAGATTTTTCCTGTTCAAAAGTAGTCACAAGGATTAATTATACGTTCAAAATTCTCTGTGTAAATGTCAAATTAAAAATCGTTGGTACTCGGTAAATAATTGTATTGAATGTAAACAATATAATGTGATGACTTATTGACAGCAAACTTAATTTTACCTCTTAATCGCTCAGACAGTCACAGTACCCCAAATATCGATTTTTTTCTTCAAAATCATACTTTATTTTGCCACTAGATTATTATTTCAAATAATTATTAATTACACTCATAAAAATTTTAGGTCTCATTATTAAGATCTCTAGTTTTAATAATGTTAATGTTAAAATACCTAATTTGATTTTAAAATTTAAATAAAAAATTAAAGAAATGTTAAAAGCTAAAAAAAATAGATAAAACGTTTAAACTATAATTTCTAATTTGTTACATATTACAAAAAATGATATAAATATTACAAAATATATTTAATTTAAAATCGGCTTTAACTGGA